TGTTTGACTAATAGAACTCGTTTAGTCAGGAAATGTGCACATGAGCACATGTGGCCACAGAACTTATCCCTAAACATCCTGGTTGGCATCACTTACTACCTTCCATGTTTTGCAGAACGGCAGTAGCACTTCCTTCCTCACCTGTGCACCACGGTAGCAACAGGCATTGTGATCACAATCAGTTTATTTCCTGTCAGTGTTCTCCATGTATAGGGACTGTATAACTATATGGGTTCATCTAATATCTTTGGCCTAATTATAAAGCTTGTAGTTTTATTTCTTCATCTTCATACAGAATTTTGCCTTGGCATGTTCATTGTACATTAAAACAGGCCTTCAGTGTGAAAAATCCTAATAGAACTTTACTTGGGACATTGACATATCTTTAGCTAAAAGATGCATTTTCTATTTCTTGCTTTCTTTCAGGCCAACCGAGCAAAAAGTATCCTTGGACTAGTGACAGCTGCTGTTGGTGCCTTCTCCTCTCTGGGCTTGTTTCCAATGAGACGAACAAAATTCTATTAACAAATTACTGAAGAGATATTGGAACTGAAAGAATACACAAGAAAGAGTAAAAGATTTCCTGGGATGAGTACTTATTTTCAGTTCCTCAGCATTGTTCCAAATTTTGATGATGGATAGCCAGTTCCTTAATAAATTACTTACTGACATTATCTTCTCATTGAGCCAATGAAGTATATTCTTCTCCTCCTAGCATAGATTTTTCTTAAAATCTATGGCAGCTTAAACAAAAAGTAGTAGCCTTCCAAGTGAGCCTGCAAAGGATCTTAACAAAACCAATAGCATATTTTCTTTAACTATAAATGCTGTTTTCCTTTTCTCTAAGGATAGCTATTTTGCTGGAGAGATAGAGAACCAATTATATGGTTTTGAAAGGAATGTTAAGAGCCCAAATTGTTACGGTTGACATTAAATTCATATGCCTTTTCTTGTACAATATGAAACTAAGAAATTAAGTATTTGGGGTAGGCAGCTTAAAGAACTCTGAATGGCAAAACCATTTGAGAATATACCCTTAACTTTTCTGCGCCTGTTTATGTGCTAGAAGGCAGGAAGAGGGTGGAAGACACTATTTTACAGTTTTTCTTTATGTGTGCCAAAAATTGGGACTTGAACTCAGGGCCTGGAACACTGTCCCTGAGCTACAGCTCCATTTCTGGATTTGGGGGTGGGTGATTAATTGGAAACAAGAGTTTCACAGACTTTCCTGCCCAGGCTGGCTTTAAACCATAATCTTCATATCCCAGCACCTTAGCTGGGATTTCCAGGCAGGAGCCTGTAATCAAACTACTTTTAAATACCACTGCAGTAGATTCCTTGGTGGCAGCAGATAAAGCAAGGTAGGATGCAGGTCACTAGGTTAAGGCTCGATTGGATTTTGTAACTTCACTCCATACACCACACATCCAGCCTGGCATCCTCCCTGGAACAACATACAACATTCCTGTCAATGGGGTAGGAGTGTGCATGGTGGTGGTAGTGGTGGCTGACAGTGAGATGAGTGAACTAGAATATGGTAAAAAAAAATTACCAACTATAAAACTCAACACATACATGTCTTAGGCCTATTAAGCTAATTTAGACTTTTATTCCAGGGCTATAAATACTCAACAAGCTAAATTGCAGGGTTAAGAATAACAGTAATAGCCCAGTGCTGGTGGCTCTCACCTGTAATCTTAGCTACTCACAAGACTGAGATCTGAAGATTATAGTTTAAAGCCAGGCAGAAAAGTCAGTGAGACTCTTATCTCCAATTAACCAGCAAAAAGGCTAGAAGTGGAGCTGTGGCTAAAGTGATAGAGCACTAGCCTTGAGTTTTGAAAAAGCAAAGGGACAGCACCCAGACCATGAATTCAAACCCCAGCTCCTACACCAAAAATCAAAACAATAATAATAGAAGGGTTCCTATGCCAGTCTGCAAAGCTTTCATTTCTCTTCCCTCCTTTCTCCTTAACCAACACCTTCCTTTCTTATGACACTAACTCTGTCTCTAGATAACCCCCAGACCATCTTCTTCCCAAACCCATCTTCTGTGGAGGTATGAAGTTTAAAAGTATCCTTTCACTTTCATTCCAAATTCGGATCTTTGTGGGATTTTTTATGTTCTAATCCCAAGTAATCAACTAATGAACAGTTTTCTAGAATTGTCAGATTAAGTTAAAACTAGAAGTAGCTTGGCTTTTTTGTTTGTTTTTGATTAAAGATGTCTACAGAGCGTAACTCTTAACCCAGAGCAAGAGACTTGGCTTTGGCAGAGGTAGAGCACTGGCCAGGGAGAGTAACTGGAACTTGGAACCTTTAGTCAGAAGCTTCTAGAAAATTCTGGATGTCTCCACTCCAGAAAGCAGTCCTTATTGTACTGGGTAGTATCAGATTTGCACTTTTGGACTCTTGGATTCATTTTCTCATAGCAATTGTGTTTAAGCATCAGTGGTTTTTACCCTGAAAAAATCTGAGCTCACAAACTTAGTCATCAGTTCTCCATAGAAACAACCACTCAGGCGGTAGTGCAGCCCCAGACTGCCCATTTGCCAGGTGTTCTTTAAATTGTTATTTAATTTTTGTCAGTTATGAGGCTTGAACACAGAGCCTTGGTACTGTTCCTGAGCGTTATCATTCAACTCTATCACTGTATGACGTTTAGCCACAGTGTCTCTTCCAGTTTTCTGTTAGTTACTTGGAGATAATAGGCTCATGGACTTTTCTACCTGGGTTGGCTTTGAACCATGATTCTAGGATCTCAGCCTCCTAAGTAAGATTACAGGTGTGAGCCACTGGCACCTGTCTTGTCAGGTACTTTGTTATCAAAATGTTTTTCCAACATTTTGAAACCTTCCTTTTAGCAATCAGTCATGAAGCTCATCTTTATCATGTTCCCCAAAATAAATGTGAAATAAAGACCTATCACCCACCAGATAGCTGATAAATTGTTGGTAAAACTGGAATTAATAAAGGCCAAGCCTTCATTGAATAAGGGATTTTTAAATACCTTATGCAATTTAAATATCATTGTATCACTTGAATCTTTTTCACTTTAAAAGTCAAACTAGTGGATGCAAATGTCAGCTCAAGGAAATCTGGCTACCATACTTTTAAGAGTGATAAACATTTTTAAAATTGTAACCCCTCTGTACAGTATTTTCACAATAAAAAGTAAAATTAAATTAAAAAACTAAAAAAAGAGTGATAAACATTTTTAATCATAAGCTGAAAATATCCTTTTTTTTTTTGGTCGGTCTTGGGACCTGAACTCTGGGCCTGGGCTCTATCCCTCACCTCTTCAGCTCAAGAATAGCGCTCTACCACTTGAGCTACAGCGCCACTTTTTCTGCTTATGTGATGCTGAGGAATCGAACCCAGGGCCCCATGGATGCAAGGCAAGCACTCTACCACTGAGCCACCTTCCCAGCCTCTGAAAATATCTTTCTAAAGCCTTTTTATCTTGTTATCAGGAGCCACTAAATTAGGCACATTTTGAAAGAGCTATGAACACAAGAAAAGGTTAAAAGGCCAACAAAATGTAAGAGGGTTTGTTTTCATAGAATAAACTTATAATGTTTATGACCTCAATTACTAAAATACTGAAAACATTTTTCCATTCTGAAGACTTCAGAACAATCAATTAAAAGCTATCTTACACAGAATCCACTCCTCATAGATAGGCACATATTTGATAATCATGGAATTGACTAGTCTCCTAGGCTTTTTGGAAATCGCAAGGTAATTTTAAATGTTCACCCAAATGAATTTCCTCTCAACTTCACAACAGAGGTAATACATAGTAAAGCTATAGTGTGCAGAATTTATTCATAAATAATGGACCTTTGTCTGGTCTTTAATGTGCATATAAGGTGATTCAGATAATTACGATGAAAATACAATGTTGAGATACAAGTCTGTCTTAAAACATGAGAATTGCCATGTTGTAGTTATAAACATTATGGGTTCCTTCTCTAGGAACTCTTTTTGTTTGGCAGTACAGGGTTTTGAACTTGCTATAATGACACTATACCACTTGAACAATGTCTCCAGGCCTGCTTTCTTGCTGTTTATTCTGGTGTTAGAATCTAGGAAACTTTTTCTGCAATGGATGGCGTTGAACTGAGATCTTGTAGACTTTAGCTTCCTGAGGAGCTAGATTATAAGCATGATCCACTAGTTCTTAGCTGCTTAGGATTTTTTTCTGTTTTCCTCTTTTTTAAAAGACAAGCAAGGTTGTGTTTGGGCAGATTTTTGGAATAGAACTGAAAGTTTTCATGAGTTGGAAATAAACAAGAAATAAAGGTGTGATGCTTTTTAAAGTACAAAGCACATTTAAAGTTTATTATTTTTATAGTATACTTAGGACCTTCTAGGTAACTGACCCCCAGACAGTATATTTTGGGAATTGCCAGATTTTGATGGTTTGCTTAGGTACTAGCTTTGCCCATGCCAAGATCATATTTAATTACCACAAACCTCTGCAATTCCCCATTTCCACACAACTCTGCTTCACTATACAGTTAGGGTTGAATTTTCTGAAGCTACTTCATATTTCTCTATTAAAACCATATGAAAAAAAAGAAGAAAAAAGGAATTTAGTGACCTTGGAAAAAAATGCAAACATAAACATGCGTCTCAAGTGAATGTAAGACTTAAGTAAGCTTGTAATAAGTGTATAACTTCCAAAGATCAAATGTTTGTTTTACTTTCCTTTCTCTTATTAAGGTCCATGCCTCTAATTTCATTACTATGACAGGTATCCTGAAACAACACAGTATAAATGCAGTTCATTATTATTATTAAAAATGATAATCCAAGAATGCATTTTTCTGGATAGTAAAGGATGTGATCAAAGATAAATGTAAGGTCAGAATGTTGAGAAATTGCACTTAGAATGCTGGGATGGAGAGAGCAATATAAAGACACACATACTATTTTCACCTTTCCACATGCAATGGGAAGATGTCACTGTTACACATGCATAATGACAATTCGGATCACAGCCTGGTCCAAAAATGCTGCTCTGTGGTTTGCCCTCTCAATTTGACTTTCCCTTCGGGAGCCTGTTCAGGGTCTTCATAGCCTCTGTTGATATAGAGCCCATTTTTGCCATCATCTGAATATGTCCTGTTGGTGGGAGGCCAGGTAGGGTCAGCTGCCAACTTTCTTTGCCAGATCCTATATTGACTTTTAGAGTAGAATCCAAATTCTTTCTTGATCAACAGCCAGAGCTCTCGATTTTGAAGGACAGCATCCTGGAAAATCAAGTGGGGAAAAGCAAAGCATTGTGCAAGTGTTCTAGCTACCAGGTGGCTCAACGTGGCCTGCCTCATCAGGCTACTCCGAGATTCACCATTGCTGCAAACTCAGCTACATCTCCCCATTTCTTCCCTTCAAAAGCTGTAGCTGAGAGATCTGCTGAAAGCTTACAGCCTTTTGTCTATACTGACTTCTTGGTCATATCCTAGCTAGTGGCTTATCTAGAATTTTTTGAGTAACTGATAAAATGATATACAATAATCTACTAAATATCAAGAAAAGAAAATTTGGTCTGGGAATGTGGCTTACTGGTAGAGTGTTTGCCCAGCATGCATGAAGCCCTAGGCTCAATTCCTCAGAACCACATTAACAGAAAAAAGTAGGAAGTGGCACTCTGGCTAAGTGCTACCCTTGAGCAAAAGAAGCTCAGCAACAAGTCCTGAGTTCAAGCCCCAAGACTGGGGATGGGGGGGAAGAAAGAAAAAGGAAAGAAAGGAGGAAGGAAGGAAGGAAGGAAGGAGAGAAAATGAAAGAGAAAATAAAATAAAAGGAAAGAGGGAAAAGAAAAAAAAAGATTTATCACTTGTGCTATTTGCCATGTGCCCCATATAAGGTACCAATTATTAATGCTTGTTGAATGAATGAATGAACTCCAGCAATGTGATAATTTTTGTTTTATATTTTTTGAGTTCTCTTTTCTCTTTGTTCACATGATCATGCAATTTTTACACATTTATAATAGGAGCCAGGCATGGTGGCACTTGCCTGTAGTCCTCTACTCAAGAAGTAGAGGAAGGAGGATGGTAGAGGTAGAAGGATGGCAGACTGAGGCTAGCCTGCTCAAAAGCAGTGAGACTCTGTAAAAAGCAAACTGAAGGCAAATGACTGTGCTTTGGTATAGGTAGCAGAGTGTATATCTTACAAATGTGAAGCCCTGAATTCAGTCCTAGTACTACCAAAAAGATAATAGAATTAGTCCAAATTTGTACTCCACTAAATTTTCTGCTATACATAATTTTTATGTAACTATAATTCTTACATTTTTGTTTTATTGCAATAAGAATATAGCCACAATCATCTTAATAATTAGCTTTAATTCTATATAATTGCTATATAAGTATTTAAATACAATGTTTAAATTTTACATTTTGCCATGGTAAGTAATAATATGCTGAAAATACATGTAGATTTCTTTCAGTCTCCTTTTAGGTTATGTTTTAAAAATATAGTCTCAAAATTGAATTCCTATACTAAAAGCTTTGAGAAATGTTATACTAATTGCACCTTTAAATATATCTATAGATATAGAGATGTATACCTATTTATATATATAGATGGACAGATAGATAGGTAGATAACATCTACATATGGTTGATCCCTTTATGCAAGGTAAAATTCATTGCATGATTTTTTTTATCTTTCTCTTTTAAAACCTGCATCTGAACCTTTTGCTGAGTGGATAATTTGCTGACACTGAGTAGAAGAGAAGTGCTAGAAGGGATGCTCTACAAGGGCTGAGATTGATGAGAATGGACAGTGGTATTCTTTGTCCCTTCTCTCTTGATTAAGGAAGGCCTCCTAAGCTTGATTTTCACTCTAAAAGGTCTCATTGAATTTTAGAGCCACAAGATCACCTGGCCTTGCCTTTTCTAAACTATTGGGAACATTAGAGAAGTCTTAACAAAATGGTTTCATGTGAGGCCCAATGAGAACCAACTCAGTGGTTTGTTTTCTGTGGCAAAAAGACACCAGGACCATTTCTCAATAGCCTCCAAAATGTTTTGAATCCTTGTCCAAAGAGAACATGTATACTTAAAAAACAAAATACTTTAGTAACTACCATATGTAAAAATCAAAGTAGTTCTCTTAAACGGAGTATCTGTTGGAAATGTCACACCCTTCATTTGTTGACAAACAAATGAATATTTGTTTTCCCCTAGAAAAAATATTTTGCCCAGGAAAATAGTCAGAACAATATACAGAATTTACCTCTACAAAGAAGGCCACGCAGAAGTGGGTCAGGGATGCCACCAAAATGGAAACTCTCCATGAAGTTATGGTGGGGATGAACTTTGAAAAAGAAATGCAATCATTACCCGTTGCAACAATGAGAAGTACAAGTTGTCATGTTGAAAACGAACTTTACAACTTTGGTGGGGGGGGGGGAGGCTGGGAAGGGACGTGAAGGGTAAACAAAGGAGGAGGCTGCAATGCTTGATAAGAAATGTACTCATTATCCTGCCCATGTAATTGTAACCCCTCTGTACAGTATGTTCACAAAAAATTTTTAAAAAAAGAAATGCAATCATTAGATATTGCATATCTTCTACTTTAAAAAGCACATAGTCACCATCTTACATTGTCTTACGTACTTGCAATAACTGAGCTTGGAGGGTTAGCATTACTTTCTCTCGTTTCCAGCTGATTAGATGGAAGGTCAGTGACGCCCAACACTGACTCAAAGCCAATAATCAAGGGCAGAGCCAGAACCTGACTCACTGGGCTGTGCCCTCCCTGGCTTGATAGCATCTATCTAGCAAGCTCACCTCAGGGGACAGTGGTATGATGGAGGACAGCCTGACTCACTTTCATCTGAGATGCAGGGAAGCTGGTATAAGATTAAACCATTCATCTACTAATTATCTTGCTTCTGATTCTCCCAAAGAAAAATCCACCTGGAGTTCATTTATCAGTTAAATTATAGTAAAAGTAAAGTTAGGGCAGAAGAGCAAATTTACTTTGACTGAGAATGAGTGAAAAATGTTTTGAGCAAATAATATTCCTGATCCTGAATTCAATGGCTTTATGAAAAAAAGCCATCTGTATTTTTGCAAGGAGTTTAAACAACACCTTTCAAAGATGCATGGTTCACGAAGTGACCACCAGATATCCTTATTTATTAGCTGTGAGAGCCCTAATTTTCTATGGTTATGTCCATAGTGAAAGGGTAGCCTACATCTCCAATTTCTGACCCACAGAGGCCTAGGAGTGGGGCTCCCTTAAGGATTATAACCACTAAATTCTAATCAATAAACTGATATGTGTTATGTTTGGTCATTTGTTTTCTCAGTAGGGGCAGACTGATCAAGGTTATGGACTATAGCACATTGGGTAGAAGGGTCTGGGGGAAGATGGGTAGGATCCAAGAGTATATCCTGGCCCTGGCAGGGGCCCAGTCGGATCTCCCACCAACCTGTTGCAGGTAGGCTCCTCTCCAGCTCTTGGTCTGGAAAGCACTTGATTTAGAGTGATTTACTTACACATAAGTCTTCTTTCTTAGCTTCTGAACAATTTGAGAGCAATGACTTCATCTTATGTTTGTTATCCTGATACTGAGCAAAGTCTAGAGCTCATGATGTTTTGAACGAATGATTCTAGTTTCTCCCTTTGAGGCCTCTCTGCCTTTCTACAGGCCCCTGGCCATCCTACAGTCAATCTGTCTTACACACCTTTCTGAATAGTCTCCACTGACTTGCTTTGGCATGAAATGTAAACCTCACAGGCTACCCTGGCCCACTTAATCCTTCCTTTATTCTTTCTTCTTGTTCCTCAGACTCCCTCAGTGGTAGACACTCTTCTAAACCCTCTGTAAAGCAAGACTTGCGTTTTCATCCTGACTACCCTACGTTCTTTGCATTTCTGAGACAAAAGAAGTCCTTTTAATACTTTCTACTTGTATTTAGGCAAAAAGTTATTTCCTGATCAGAAGCAAGTCTGTGTCTCACTTGGCAAAATCCAGCTTGGACCTTAGTCAAGTTCTATTACTCCATGAAGCCTCTCATGATGACAGTCAAATCCAAAATCATGGCAAGAGTTCCCCAAGCGTAGATGGCATCAGGAGGCCAGGACACAATGTCACTGAAGAATGGTTCATCTTCCATGCACAAATATAGCCTGAAATTCAGTGGTTAACCTTCCCTTTCTCTTATACCTCTCACAATATTAGGTCCAAAAAATAGATTCAGAACTTGTTAATGAATTTATCTTTAACTCAGTAGAACCTGGATCGAATGATGTCCATTCACAAAAAACTGCACATGGACCATGTGCAACATTCAAATGTTAAGTATGTCTGAACAAAGCATTATTGGCCCATGCGCTTGCATTCTGTTTCCCTTTTAGCATTAAAAATATCTATTAAATGTTTAAAATTAAATTTGGAGAATAAATTGTATTAATACATAGTACTGGTAGAATGTGACTGAATAAAATATGCAAATATTTCAGGTTTGAACAAGATAAATGTGCCCAAGGACAACACTAATAACATGAAAACCTGTGAGATAAGAAATGTCAGATGGTTTTTCTTTTAGTAAATAGAAATCCACAATATCTAGTGGTCAGAGAGAATACAGAAACAATTGACTTTCAAATTGCAGTATAAGTGTGATACATGTGAATCTTACCACACATTCAAATAAGTAGCACTTACCTCCAATTTTTGGTATAGATCTTCACTGTCAGAAAACAGAATGAAAATCGTCATGCCAAAGGCAGATGTCAACAAGAATGAAAATGTATCTGCAGAAACATCAAACATTATTTTTAGATGCTGAAAGAATGTTTCCTGTAATTGGGCACACATTGCAGAATCAATTATCTCTGTTGGGCAAATACTAGATACATCTTCAGATGTGTTGATATATCCTCATATGTTTTCAAATATGTTCAAATTCTTGTAAGACGAAAGGTGATATATTGAAAATCTTTCTCATGAGTCTGGGGCTAGACTCTATTTATTACAGGAAACCTAAATAAAGAAGTAATCTCCACCCAGGATCCCTGGTGCTTGTATACCTTGCTATGCCCAGCCCATCTGCATGGCCAACAGAGAGACCCTGACACATCATCTTTGCCCTCGAGTGAGTGGGTTGTTTATATGGGATGAGCTGTCAGTCATCCTGGAGCATCTCCTTCTCCATTGCAAGGTAAATGAAGTACACAGAGCTGTAACAGTTAAGGATCTTCTATAATCTGGCCAGGTAGCCTTTCTAAACTGCTCTCCAAATGTCCAGTATTCCACATTTTTGCCCTTGCTCACAAATTGTCTTATATAGATAATATTCTTCCTGTCTTAAGCACATTTTCCCATTTTTCTCTACATAAGGAGTCCAGTCCAAGTACTACCAAGGACGCCTCAATCTCCTATTAAGTTTATTCCATGTGTTATATATTGCTTATCATCCAAGCTGTGGCTGTGTAAAAGTGACTGTGTATTCAGGTAAAGGGAAAGGTGATGTACAGAAGGGTTACAGTTACATAAGTAAGGTAATAAATACATTTCTTTTTGAACAGTGAGGTTCATTTGCAAGATAGTGTCTAGTATCACTGTTGCATTGGTTCACCCTCTGTCCCACCATTTCTGTGATTCCCCTTCTCTTTCCCAAATCAGATAAATGTATATACAAAACAAAGGGTACCCTGAAATTAAAACAAAACAGTGGCAACAGGGAATAAACCATAGGAAAAAAAGAAAGAAAAAAAGAACTGCAAACAGTACACACACACACACACACACACACACACACACACACACACACCCTCTTGTTTCCATTTCTTGGAGTTCATTTTGATAAGCATCATTTTATATGGTCATATGTACATAGCTATTGAGCTATTGTGATCCTCTGCTAAGAATATTCTAGCCATATTTTAGTTACTACAAATGAGCTGCCCCATTACTTTGGAGAGACAAAGTTCCCAGGATATGTGGGTGCCAAAAATCACTGCAAAGGCTCAATTACCTCTTGGTGAGCTTAATTTTAACTTAGTACATCCTAGATCAAATGATAGCCATTGATATAAAACTCCACAGTCAATGTCTGATAGGACATGATCAACTTATAAGTCTATATTTTCTTTCCTCTTATAACACATTATTAAGTATTTAAACTGTATGTGAAAAAAGAAGTTTCCTTAATGTATTAATGGATTAATTTCATTGTATTGATATGAGAGAATAAAGCATCTAGACTGATAAAGCATCAGGTCTGAACTCCAATGACAGTCAAAGATATTAACAGGACACTTTATAAAATAGTGCTTTAGAGCTGTTTGAGATAAGATTATCATTTAACCAAACGTTTCTGCGAAATAAATGATTCTACAACCCTCATAAGTTGTATTTAAAAATTCCAGAATTGGCGGTCCACTCCTTTCCCTCAGTTCTGTATCAGTTCCCATTAGAAACTGGAAGCAACCACTGCTCCACAGTGTTAGGTAAATTAAATCGGCAGCGGAGGAAAGAGAGAACAGGGGAAAGGTAGCTGTAGGCTACCTCTGGTCAAGTTGGAAACCCACGCAATGGGGGGAGGGGGGGAAGAGGAGGCGGGAAAGAGTTGAACCACAGCCAGGCCAGAACTTACCAAGACCAGGGGGCGGGAGAAGGTGTAGTCACACCTGATGTGGATGTGACCTCAGGGAGGGATGGGGCAGGGGACTGCCTCCAGGTGTGCCAGTTAGCTAGGTGATGCAGGTACTGGGCAGAGACTTAGCCAAGAGGAGGGAGGCTCTGCTTGACCTTCCCAGGGAGGACCTTACACACAGCAGCCACTATTTTTGAAGTGAGCAGAGTTCTATTTTACCCTCTGTGCTCATTGACACTGCACTCTCTCATCATAACTTGATGTAGCACCTCTGAGAAGAGGTGTCAGCCTTCTTGAGAGGGGTGTGAGGCAGAGAGAAGGAAGGGGGAAGAGAAGAAAAGTGACTTGACCCTCCTGGTGATCAGATCCTAAGATCCTGTTAGTACTGGGGAAGTATTTTAGAATTTTGGAGTATCCAGCATAAATACTAGACCCTTCCAATGTACTGTGCTAGACATTTTATATGAAATGCTTCCTTTAAGCTGGATGCTTGTAATGCTAGCTACTCAGGAGGTTGAGATTCGAGGATAGTAGTTTGAAGTCTGCATAGGCAGACAAATCCAAGAGCCCTTCATTTTCAACTAGCTAGCTAAGAGCCTGAAGTGAAGGTATGGCTCCAGCGATAGAGTACCATGTCTTGAGCCAAGAAGTTAAGCAAGAATATAAGGCTCTTGGTTCAAATCCCAATTTGACAGAAGAGAGAGAGAGGGAGGATCACAAAGCTATCAATAGCTTTGTGCATATGATCAATAGCTATGTGCATATGATCATATAAAAGAATATTTATTGAAATGAACTCTAAGAAATTGAAATAAGGCTTTTTTCTTTGTTGCTGTTTTTCTCTTTCTTTACCTTTTGTCTTGTTAGTAAGATTATCTGTTTGGGGAAGGAAAGGGAGGTACAGAAGAGTTGAAAAAATGGTGAACAGATGCAGAAATGACTATACACTATGCTGAAAATGAACTCTATAATTTGTGGGTGGGAATGGGAGGGAAAACTGGGAGAGAGCAAGGGAAGGGGTGACATTGTTCAAAAAGAAATGTACTCATTTACCTGACTTACGTAACTATAACTCCTCTGTATATCACCTTATAATAACAATAATATATATATACTAAAAACAGGAAGAACAAGAAAGAGAGAGAGGGCAAAGAGTGAGAGAAATAAAGGAAAGAGAGGAGGAAGGCAGGTAGGGATCAATATAGTTCTCACCCTTAGGATGGGGTTCTAGTTATACAGAAGAGGAAAAAGAAGCATGAAATGTTTAAGGTAACTTTTCCACTGTTAAAAAGCTGTCCAAAGACCACCTTGTATTTGAATTGGTTAAAACCTTTTATAAATCACCTTGACATCTATGTTTGGGTAAAAAAAAAAAAAGAATCCTGAAGATTCACAGGATAGGACAAAGACACTATTGGTGTCTGTCCTTACATGGGAATGAATGAGCTTCTGCCCATGGGCTCCCTTACCTGGGCACATTATATGTAACAATCAATCACGAGTAACTCCAAGTGCTTCTACCTACAGCACAGAGTTGCAACTCTAGGGAGGGTGGAGAAACAGAAAAATATTCAGAATGCCAAAGTAACTTTCACATACTTACAGTTTGAATAGATGGGTTTTCGAAATGGCTTTCCCTTAGAAAAGATAAATGCCACCGTGATGCAGTTGAAGGTGATTATGGGCCACAGGGTGGTACTCTCAAAACTGACAACGGAACCAGGAACCAGAGTTGCATTTCCAGTCCAGTTTCTTTCCACACTCCCATTGGTTGAGAAATTACTTTGGTTGGCCCGAAAGCACTCACTACAAAACAATCACCAGCATTTATGGGACCTTCTATTCTCTTTTCACCCATTAAGTTAAAAAAAAAAAGTGTAATCACTACCATGGGACTCTAGTTTTCAATCTTTTCCAACTGGTAACTACCAAAACATCTTTTGTTCATTTCTTGAAGTGAAAAAGAAGAAATAAAATTCAGAAGCCAAGATTGTTCTTTGGCTGGCACTTCATTTCGGATAAGAAATCTGTCTTTGAAAGCTTGAATGGCAGTTTTCTGGGACTGTTTTAGTTCAGAGTGACTGTACCACATGAATTGAATGTGTATGTGTACCTGTCTGTGTATATGCACATGGATGTATTCTTTTTCATGCACTTGTGTAACCCTCCTGACTTGTGTCCTGAGTTTGAGTGTTCTTACTCTAATCCTCTCTCCTCATACAGTCAAGGAATCTTCCTAAAAATCTGGACATGACACTTTGTTGATCATGAGGTGTCTATGGTGGTGTTTTGGTACTAAATCAAGTTCAAACTTACCAGATTGACCTAGAAGACATTCCCACTCCAGACCCAATCTACCTTTCTGGCTTTATCTTTTGTCATCCTCTTCCCCCCCCAATACACACACACACACACACACACACACACACACACACACACACACACCTTACACTAGTAACAGAATTGTTCTCCTGTTCCTCAAGTACCACCATTTCAAGCATTGGGTCAAGCATGCTGTTCTTTCTAATCAAAGTGAAGTTTATCCTTCAGATCTCGCTATATCTGAAATTACTTTTACTGGGAAATGAATCTACTTCACTCTATTCTGGCCTTTGTTAGTGCATTCCGCGCATAATTTTGTAATTATTTTGCTGATATATATTTGTTTCTCAGCTATGGGATGTGAGTTGCTTTAATATGGAAATTTTCTTCTGACATTATTTTGTTTTCTGTCTTTTTTTTTTTTTGTCGGTTGTGGGGCTTGAACTCCAGGGCTCTACCACTTGAGCCATAGCACCACTTCTGGTTTTCTGGTGGTTTACTGGAGATAAGAGTCTCATGGACTTTTCCTGCCTGGGGCTGGCTTTGAACCATGATCCTCAGAACTCAGCCTCCTGAGTAGCTTGGATTACAGGTGTGAGCCACAGGTGCCTCGCTGGGATTATTTTTTGTTTTACTCAAATTTATAACACAGCATTGTTACTAGGCACAGTTGGGTCATATTATATGTACTCATAAATTTTTTTTCTTAAGATTTGGGCTTTCCCAGCCCTTATTGATATATCTTCTATATTCTTTTTATTTTCCCTTTTCAAACAATGAAATCTAAAACTAGTTTCCTTTAGCTTTTTTGTTTAGCTTGAAACATTTAAATTACTGTTACAACATTTTATAATACAATTCATTTTCTAACAGTGAAAATAATTTTTAATAGGGTTTCACTATGTAGCCCAGGCTGGTCTTGAACTAATGATCTTCCTGTCCCATTCAGCCTTCCACGTGTTGGGATTATAAGTAAGAACATGCTTACTAGATTTAATTTTTATTATTCTGAACTCATTGGAGCCCAGAAATGTGGTTTGCAAATAGTAAACATTTAGGTAATGTTTTCTAAATAAAATAATGAAACAATCTGTAGTCACATTTTTACAAAAAGATGGATAGGTAGGCCAGATGATCTGATGTTTAACACCAAAGAGTACCTGGTTCATTTCACTAAAAAGAAGGTTGAGGGCTGGTTTGGTGCAGCTCATTAATAAGAGCGAAGTGAGTTTCTTGTTTTGCTTTAGCTATACCCGTATTTTTTTTCTATTTTCAATCAGAATTTGACTTCTCAGAGTTTAGGTAGTCAAATTTAGAGACAAATGTGGTTTTGAAAATGAATGGAATTATTTGTTCCCAATGATACTTGTTGAACTGGAGTCTAAATGAGAGTCTTAAACATCATTTTGTAGTTTTCAGTCTGTGTTTCACTGAGTTTGGTGGCTCCAAGGACTTTAGATTCCAGTGGAGAGAGGGGAATTTGTACATGCCCCATTTAAAAAGAGTATTTTCTTTTGTAGTGAAGAAATCTTCCTGAGGGAAAAAGGAGCTTGGTAATCTACCTTTATGTTTGAAGAAATTAAAGCCTAGGGAGTTGAAGAGACTTGTCATATGTAGAATGTTTCAATGGAATCAGAGCTGTCATGCCATCAACTAGTATTTTGACAGTCACTTGAAAACTACAAAACAATTTAGGCAAGTATCTCTTTTATGTCTGTATCAAGTCCTAACAAACTATGGTTCCCATGCTAAGTCCAACTCACCACCTGATTTTATAAATAAAGTTTTATTGGAACACAGCCATACCCATTTACCTACATTGTGCCTATTTTTTGTATCATTGTCTAGTTCAGGAACTTCTCCTATTAACTCATAATTTATGTTTCATAACCTGGTGACATAACTTTTTAAACTCAAAATATTAAGATATGTCCTCAGGCCAAGTTGGGCGATATACTTTTTTTTTTTTTTTTGGTCCAGTCGTGGGGCCTGAACTCTGGGCTTGGGCGCTGTCCCTCAGCTCTTTTAGCTCAAGGCTAGCGCTCTACCACTTGAGCCACAGCGCCACTTCCGGCTTTTTTGTTTTTGCTTATGTGGTGCTGGGGAATTGAACCCAGGGCCTCATGCATGCAAAGCAAACACTACCACTGAGCCACCTCCCCAGCCCCGGGCGATATACTTAAAACGAAGAAGATGAACTCACCTGTATCGGTAGACCTCACAATACCAAGGCTGTTGCTTCACAGAGAGAAAAGCACACACTTGCACAATGCCAGTGAAACAAGTATTCAAAAAGATGGAGAGCAACAGGGGAGGAGAAAGAAGTTGTCCTGCTGGACGATACGGTGCCAGCTTCGGGTAGGCATGAGTCCAGCTCACTGAAAGGTAAGTGCAGTTTTCCCTTTACAACTTTATTACATAAATGATATAAGTGCATATTGCCATGGACCTTGTGTTAGGATTCAGTTGGCATAAACATAAAGCCTATGTTTATGTTTACATGAACACATTAGCTAATTGTGTATTTTGCCTATAGTAATGGGTATTACTAGGAGCATTGATCTCGTCCATGATTTGATTTCATCTTCAGAGCAAAAAGTAATAGGCTAGAAAGTTCTTAGACTAATATTTTTACCAGATCATGTGGTGCTAATCTTTTTCCTGTAACCAGATTAAGCAGAGATGGTATTTAAAAGAGGGAGATGGGCTTCCACGTGGGTGAAGACCCATTAATATTACCTCTCATTGATGATGGAAAAGTGAAGAACTGGAATGAGAGGAGTAAGAGCCTACAAGCCCTCACTTTTCACCATTCCACCATTATGCTCTAAGCACTTCAATGTGCCAGTCACTGGGGTCAGTGCTAGAAGGGTGTTCTGCTCCTTTCTAAATCAACAGGAACACTACAGCTACAGCACCACTACAACCCATCCCGCTGGGAAGAAAAAAAAAACCCTAAACAATCTTACTTCTTGATAATAGTGTTAAGACGTTATTAGGCCAAGTTTATTGGCACACATCTGTAATCCTAACCACTTAGGAAGCAGAGGTAATAGGATTCCAAAGCCAACCTGGGAAATGTTAATACAAAACTCTAAAGAGCCAAAGCTGTGACTCAAGAGACCCTTAATTCAGCCTTCAGTTTGGGGATGGTGGGGAAGCATACATTGCATTTTTATCTTAGGATTTTTTTGATAAATTAAAAGCATTAGAAATAATGAGAAATTAAAAATGATATATAATTTTTAAAAAGATGACTACATCTTACTTAAACACTACATATCCTAATAAGCCCTAGGAAGTAAAATGTACTCAAGTTCTTAAGACATAACAGGAAAGACATGGAGATGTGAGGAATTAAAAGCTGTACTAAGAGATCTGTATTATAGATATGTTTCAGTCCTTGTCCTTATATGTGTCACCTCTACCTTTTCATGGTTTCTTTGTTGCAAAGAAAAAATTAGAATGTATATACTTAGGTTTATGTTCATACCTGTAGGGGCAGAGGGCTAGGGAAATGGTATCTATTTCAGGATAACAAAGCTCAAAAGTTGGTCTTCTGTTTTGCCAATGTATGTTCTAAGGGTAAACTCTAGTTTACTCACGTAAACTCTGATTTCTAGTCTTCATGGGTAGGATAAGAATGTTGCAATGTTTCAGGTGATACATAAAGGCCCTTCCAACTCATTCTTTCTGAAGCTTTATGGTAGCTCAGACTTACGGATCCAGTAATATTACTGTTGTCGCACCAGGGTGCTGGGCTAGAGGTTGGGAGAGGGGTAGAGTGTGCATGGACAGAAAAGATAGATCATTTTCCCCTCAAAATTTCCAGAAAACAATACAGAGAAACTGTGTACTATAGAATTTGGAGGGTCTTTTCCTCCACTCCTTGAGATACATCCTTTTTCATAAGGGTCCCTGACAATTCACACTAATAAGCTGACTGATGGTGGATCTGAGAGAATCTATGAATGTCACAAGAATGGCTTGGGTATGCCCCAAAGAGAAACTGTGTGATTTGTATTTGGAACATTTGAGCTATATACAGCCTGACTTCCAATAGTGGAGGGCTAGGGATGGGGTACAAACTTGTAGCCCATGATTTAGTCACTCACGCTTACACAATAAGATCTCAATAACTCTAAACTTTGAAACTCCAATGAGCTTCTCTGGTTTATGATACTCTGCACATTGTCACAGACCCTGTAAAGGAAAGTCTTCCTGACTCTACAAGGAAAAGAAAAGGAAAGTCTCCTTTGGGATTCTTTTAAGACTTTACCTTGTATGTGTCTCTTTTTGACTGTTTTCTGACTTGTATACTCTTGCTATAACTAAAATTGCAATAGTAAGTCTAGCATTTCCCTAGTTTTGTGAATTGCTGCAGCACTCATTGAAACCAAGGGGAGTGGGAACCTCTACATTTATAACCACCGATTTATATGCTCCAGGTGGCATACAGACCCCCAAACTTGTGGCTGGTATCTGAAGAAACATCATCCTGTGATGTTTGGTTTAACTCTGGGTAGTATTGAGCACACAAAGAAGGGGCGCACAAGGTGGACTGAGGACAGGGATAAAGAGTAACCAAGCACCTAGATCATAGAAACCACTGGCTTCAGTGCTTGGAGTTCTCTCTGCATCCCACTAGCCATGATGGAATGTGGTTTGCAGACTTCATAAAGAAGCTGTGGGATCCAGGTGTAGTGGCACACCCCTGTGATCCCACCTACTTGGGAGGTAGAAGTAAGAAGATTGCTAGCTGAGGTCAGTGCAGACAAAAGTGAGAAACCCTATTGGAGAAATAAACTAATAGCAAATAACCTGGAAGCACAATTGTGAAGCATGAGGCCCTGAATTTCATCTCTAGGAAAAGACTGAAGTAGCCCCACCCTCATGGGGATCAACTCCAGAACTTGTTATCCTAACCAAGTGTGCAAAAGCTCAGAATAACTTGCTCGAAGTCACATACCAATTCAGAAGCAACACTAGGCCAGTGTGCCATGTTTTCTAATAATGCTATCCTACCTGAATCCATTCCATTCTGATTCTTCTCTAGTGCTCACTGAGTTACCTAGTCTTCTAACAGTAGAGAGGGGACAGGTACAGCATGAGGTCATTCTATTCATTGTGAGTGTTTACTAAGCTCTAGGCTATGAAGTTTTCTACAGGAGTATCATTGTACCTGATCCTCAGAACACTATGAAGACACTTCTTATGAGGAAAATTTTAATGTCTTAAATTATTTATGAAAGTTCAGAGATTAGGAGAGATGGAAGAGGGTCATGGCCTTGATGTTTGGGCCATGGACTTTGCCTCCAAGCTTCTGTCTACTAGCTTAGGTTTTGGAACCTCCTGGGGTTCCTTTTTCTTTTTAGCACTGTCACCAACAAATCATGAAAATTGCTTTAAAATATCCAACATTATGGAAGAAATATCATTTATTCAAGATTATCCAGCCATGTAAACATTCATATATGTAGAAAAGTATTTAATGGGCTATGAATAGACATTTCAGTTCTAATAACCAAAATTGATATTACTGATCACTCAGATACTGCTAAGTTTTGTCATTGGGTTGCTATAATAAATGATTTCAATATCAGTATTTTAAGATGCTACATGAAATTCCAAGGTTATTAATTTCTTGCATTGTCTGCTATTCTGTTATTTTTTCCTAACCTCCTGCTGTTGAACAAAGAAAAGGAGGTGACAGCACCATTCATTTTCTGTGCTCTCCCTTGAGGTAGACACCTTTTTCACTTATTAAAAGTTAGTATCAGACTCTGAGTTCCTTGATCAGAAATGCTTTATCAGTGTCATCTCAAAGGAAGGAAATGAACAATAGCTGCTCTAAGCCACACCTTGCTTTTGAGAAAATTCAACTATAAGAAAACGTTAGCATTTGTTCTCACATGTCAAAGACTTAGCAGAAATCTAGTTTCATGTCAATGTGAGGCATAGCTGAGTAATGGGAAGTGGCTTTTGGGTTAAAAAATCCTTTTTAGATTTTTCACTTTTCTATATACAAGACAAACTACAAAGGATTCAGACTATGTCAATAACGTTTCTGTTATTGGGATATGTTACCACTAATCTAAGCTCAACTCACTTCCACAAGTATTACTTTCAAAAAAATCATAGGCTATCAAGTTCTATTTGTGTATTTCTAGAATCTCACACACAAGTATGACCCGGAAGGTTTGATTTGCTAAAATGCTTACTTGTCAGACAGACCATCAAAGTAATAACCATATCTTGCACGAGATACTGATAATTCCCAAAGATTTGTAGTTGCTATAAAAGAAAAAAAATAAATGTTAAATGTGGTTTCTATCTGCATATTTATTATTCCCAACATCATTTTTCTTTTTTTTTTTTTTTGCCAGTCCTGGGGCTTAGAACTCTGGGCCTGGGCACTGATGTGGACTCTTTTATTGCTCAAGGTTGGCACTCAACCACTTGAGCCACAGCACCACTTCTGGATTTTTCTGTGATTAACTAGAGATAATTTATATAGATTAACTAGACTTGCTTAGGTTGGAAACCATGATCCATCTCACTGGAAGGAATGAGACTGGGTCAGTATATCCCAGAATTTACTGTGTTTCATATCATCAATGAGTCAGTCAGACTGGTACCATCTTTCTATCAGTCAGATTAATCTGATAGTTGTCATTGCAACTTGGGCTGTTGAGTTCTCAATATAAGATATTGAGGCCTAAACATTCTCTCAGGAACTTTAGGCTTAAAATTTAAACTCAAGGCCTCAGTTTATTTAAATAGAGTTGTTCTCCATCCTTATCCATGGGTTGGGTCTGCAGCAGAGCTTTCTGGGAACCAGTTAATGTTCACAAAATGAACAAGGAGCCTTCCCTAATCAAGCTCATTGCCAACTTTGTAAATAACTGAATAGACACAGAACTTAACTTTCAAGCTCACACTTATAGACTTGAAGTATTTAGGCATAAATGTCAAATCACTACTCTTAAAAGGAAGTCATCTTCTATAACATCTTTTGAATCTAGCTACCTTTATTAGCTCATATCCACTGACCGAGCTCTAAACTAGGTTCTACCCATATTCCTGAACACTTAAGTTCTGCTTCAACTTTTATGGAAAACTGCAAGGCCTATCCCAACTTTATCTCTTTTATTTCTCCTATCCTCTCTTCTTCTTTTCCCATAAAAGTGGTAAAATTATGTATATGCAGAAAGAGACAGAATAGGGAGAAATTTTCAACATAGTTTTAGTTTTCATTCTAAGATCAGCTTCCCTACCACTCTGGAGGAGATAGTAGCAATCCACCAGTTCGGCTTCCCAGAGGCAGGGGGTAGGTATTGGCTAAGGGAAAGACCTAATATTGGTCTTGGACGGATGCAGCACTTGAATCCAGGTTACCTGACTCAGTCTAGATCTTATTTCTCCTCACCTGGCCTCTTTATAGCCCCCTGTGTATGGCCTTAGGTGATAATCCACAGGATGCTCTAATCTGTGGTCCTCTCGTGCATCTTTTCACCTTCCCTTACCCCCTCCCCTATCCCCACCAAAAGCAGTGAAATACCTTTTTCCCTACAGTTCTCTGACCCTATTGAAACATTTCACTGTAGAGAAGGCTATGCTTGGACTAATGAAAATTACTTCCAATCTTTATAAAGTTCTAATTCTTAATAGATTCATAATTTAAGCATCTCTTTTCAGTGCCAAAGAACTGCTAAGTCTTTGCTCACTCTATAAGTTTTGGATAGGTTTGTGAGCAAAGCTCCAGTATGGAAGATTTGCAGAATTACAATGATTTAAAATTGAATCCAAAAACTTCTCTCTTTTTTAAATCTCTTCTTAGTCCTTTGCCAAAATTATTTCACAGATGAAGACTGATCTACTTCCTGCTGAGTTATATTTAGGATGCTCTGATGATCTCTTCATACTCAAAGAAAAAGGAACTCAAAGAGGGCAAAAATCCCAACACCCTAGAAAACTGATCCACATCTACTTATTTCTAGTTCCATATTTCATGTACCATTTTACCAGGTTCCTAAGTTTGTAGGCACCATTTTGGGAAATGTTATTTATTTATAAAACACCGAATCTTCTGTGGCGGGGAGGGGGGGCATACCCCTAAAGAAAAAACCAAGGTTGTAAAAGAAATGATTTTGATTCATACCCAGTAAAGCAGTAAAATTCCAACACCCTGTATTATGCCATACATGGTCAAATACTTAAAGATTCCGAAGGACGAAACCAGAGCAGCTCGGCCCTCTCTGTTCAAAATAAATTATAAAAAGTTAGTCACATATACTAAAATAAATCATATAATTTAGTTGTATACATTAAAAATTATGAAGTCTATATTTCAAAAAATGTACATAGTTTATGTGTAATTTATATTTAAAAACAGTTTGATATTGTTAAATATAATTTTTTGTTATTATTAAGATGTTGTAAAGAGAGTTTTTCATTTCCTGTCAGGTAATGAGTACATAAAACAGCTTGATTTTAATACCCTATTCAAATGCATTGACTTATTACTGATTCATACTCTCTTATTTACCAAGTCACTGATTCATTCTGTCAGTTACTCTTTCATTCATTCATTCATACTGTCCTTAATCATTACTTCCATTCTTGATTCTTTAACCCCACCTATCCCCTCAAATGACTTTGTGTTTATTTTCACATATGTACATTGACTATTATGGTTGTAATTGTCTACCTTTTCTCTCTCCATTCATCTGCCTTCCTTTGGAAATCCCTCCCCCTACCAAAAAACATGCTACAGCTTCCTAGTATTTATTTTGTTAAACTATAAGTTAGTTGTTCAAAAGGGTTATATCACTGGAATTCTCCTCTATGTATGCCATACTTTCATCATTACATCCCCACTGATTCTTGACTCACTTTTATTTAGGTCTTAGGAGATACCAGCTACACTGGGAATCACAAAGAATATAAAATGTATCAAGCAGTAATTTCCATGAAATAAGATCACCATATATTATAAACACACTGCAACATTATGATAAGGTGCAAATTGCCAAATGTTGACTTGATTATGACGTCTTATATCTTAACAACCTCTGCTTTCTGGGAAATTGTGAGTTCTAGAGGCTCTTAGATGCATAAAGCTAAAGAATGGGAGCTTTCAAATTTTAAGTGGCATGGATGTGATTAATATTTGAGATAGACAGGTTTGCTGATTTTGATATTTCAGGAAGAACCTGGGGCAGTCATCTAAGCTGGGGTAGAGATCAAAAGATCCAGGCTGCTGTAAAAAAAACAAAAACAAAAACCACAGCTCAGAAAGTAGATATTCCTCTTTTTTAAAAAAAATTCTATTTGAGCTGTTATCCTTCAACTGAGCTCTGCCGCAGGATGGATCATAGCAGACCAAGAGACGGCAATGTGAAGAAGCAACACCTGATGGTTCTGCAGTCTCTTCTGCTCAGAGAGGAACAAATCCTCATGGGAGAGACCGCGTCCGTCCTGTTTTTAATTTCCAGCAGGTGACATGGACACTCGTTCTGCTCCAGGACTTTTCTTAACCAAATAGAGACATGAAACGAAAAGCCTTAAAAGACAAACTATTAACCACTTTGCCTCAGGCAAGATGAGAAGGTGAAGGTTAAGAAATAGACTGGGATGCTCAGGCAGATGTTTTCCATGAGGCGGTGAGGTGCTACCATTTGTTTCTGACACAGAACTGAGCAGGAAAAAAATTTTAAAAAAGCTGAAAAGAAGCCTGGATTGTTTTCCCAAGTCTGACATAAATATTATGATTCTAGCCTTATTCTGCAATTATACATAATTCCAGAAAAATGAAAACACCCAGATTCAAAAGAAACTGAAATTAAAAAAAATTATGTACACAATAAGGAATGTTTGCATGGGACTCTACAATTACTCAGCTCTTAATGATTATGAATTTTAAGTAGCTCATGCGTTTATTCACATATTAGCTAAATATCCTTCTAATGTGATGTGCCCAGCTTAGTGATAGGGCATTATGATTGCTAAAAAAAAAATAATGAATAAGATACAGTTCTTATCCTAAATAACCTGAACTATAAAAATCAGTGAATCATGTATCAAAGGATAAAAATGAAAAATGCAAATGTGGATGTACGCATCTAAAAACACATTATCGCTTACACCCATCTCCCTACTCCTCCCCCACCCCAGTGCACTTTCTCAGGAATAAGAACTGTCAAGGATCATAAAAGGTAAAATGAGCTTAACAGAGCTGAATCATATCTAATTCTTATGAAGCTGTGAAGTATAAAAGCAAACAATTTCTACCCTGAAGTCTTCCTCTACCATCTGCCACCAGAGACATTTTACATCATGACTTGTATTCTAAACAGCATTTGGCATTCAGAAATTAATTGAGCTACATGCATGAAGAACAGCATCTGAAGTTCAAGTACCAACGCATTTTAGATGGGTGAGGTAGCCTCCTTGTATCACTATCCAGGAGGTCAGGCTCGCTACAAGAGCTAATTCACACATGCTCTCCATCTTAACCCACATGGCTCCCATCTAAGAAAGATCCCTGCCAGCTGGGCTAGCTGGCTTCCATGCCACAATCTGAAACTGCCACCCTGTTTGTAAATAAGTAGCTTTCCCCTCTCCCCACCTAGAATTCACTCCTGCGTTCTGTTTACACCAATCCTATTTATCTTTCCAGACCCATGGAAATTTTCTTCATGGTTTGAGTTCTGAAACTCAACTGGAATGTTTACTGTATTGTCTGGATGTTCATTTACGTAGGTTCATTTTCATGAGGTACATCTCATCATACAACAGGTATAAAATTCTTTGTCTTGTATGGATCTGCATACACACGTATACACACATACTAGAATTTAACTCATTCAATAAAGACTGCACTATTCTTTGACACAGAGAACAACATGATTTATATTCATGATGGGTATCACATTATTGATGCTATCATTGTATTAAGCCAAGGTTAAGCCAACAGGAATGTAGCCAAAATCTTAGAGAGGTTCGGCAATGACAAATCAGTAAAGTATTAGCCTCTTTGTGCACTCTGTGTTCTCAGTCTTGTCAAGAAACATTAGTCCTTACTGCTGTGAGACAACACATGTGATAAGTCAAAATTACTTTGAGCTTCTGAATATCCATGCTTGATTTAAAGGACCAAATTTTCCTGAAAATCAGGGCCTGTGGCACCTGGCACCGGAGGCTCATGCCTCTAATCCTAACTACTCAGGAGGCTGAAATCTGAGGATCACAATTCAAAATCGGCCCAGGCAAGACAGTCCATGAGACTCTTATCGCCAATAAACCACTAGAAAAACGGAAGTGGTGCTGTGGCTCAAGCGGTAGAGCGCTTGCCTTGAGCTGGAGAGCTGAGGCACAGCGTCCAACTCCAGAGTTCAAGCCCTACAACTGACCCCCCCCCCAAAAAAAAATCAGGGTCTGTGGAGTTGGTAAGAGGTGCTATTCTGAAGATAGAAGATGTAAGGATGTGTTAGGTTGGAGAAAAACATGGGTACAGAGTCCATGGAAATGTGTAAAGCTGCCGTGTCTGAAGTCATGAAATTTCAGGTTGGACATTTTCCTTAAAGTAAGTAAGTGGTTGGTCCTGATGGACCAACGGACATGCTAGAGAGTTGCAAGGTTGTCATTTGGGGATAAACCTCAAAATTTGGTGATGACTTCCAGAACACTGACTACATAGATGTCTGGAAGTCACCCCCAAGTGCTTAGTAGACAATGAGAAACAGATTTATGAACAACAGTACAAAACCTACTGTTTCATTTGTAATTTCATTTAAGATATAAATAAAGATCAGATCAGAAATAAAGGTAGAGTGTTGGAGAAAATAAACAGGGAAAATGAACTGCTCTTCCTTCCTTCCGTTGCCTAACCAATCTTACTATCTTTTATGTCAACATTTTGAATATTCATAAACTTCCATTTTAGAACCATACAACAGCATTTGGATAAACTAGTATTGTCCCCTTTTGGCTTTCTAACTCATCCAAAATAGCTGGGAGACATATTCCAGCAAGTATCCAGTATATGAAGTAAAGAAACAGAGAAGAAATGCAAACAGGTTTTAAATATCAAATGTCCACATGACAAACCCACCTATTTTTAAGGGTCAGTCAGTAAAAGATCGTGTGTGTGTGTGTGTGTGTGTGTGTGTGTGTGTGTGTGTGTGTGTGTGTGTGTGTGTGTGTAACTTAGCATTTTCAAACAGCGCTAATTGTACCTCAATTTAGTGCTCTATCAGCATTTTTGCCCACATCTCTATCATGGCATTTATGACTTTAAGTTATAGTAGAAGTCTGTCTGTCTCCTCAGCCAGATGATGAGCCTGCTGGCCCCAAGGGGAAAGGGGAGGGGAAGTGGCGCTTACCTGATCAGGTGAGGCACACACTCAATGTTGGCTATTTTTGAGGTGAAAGGGGATGCCACTGATGCTTCTTGCTCTGACAGCGAGATGCCTGCATGAGCCATTTTCAGAGCCTGGAATGATTGATCCATGTCAACTCATGATGGCTCACTCCAGATTCTGACTACTCAAATACTAATACACTGTCCATCACATCATTGAGTTGTACCTGGAAATCTTTATTTTCTGGGTCTCTAGTTACGCTTAACCTGGTATCTCTTGCCATTCCTGACCCACAAAGTTACCAATTAAAGAGACAGCAATTAAACAGTGAATCATGTTTGCACATATGTGTATGTGCATGCATGCACATGCATCAGGCAGCCCCATTTTCTGTGTGGAAAGAAGATGTCATAAGGAAATAGAAGTACTCCTTCAAAAGCCTTTTAAAAGTGACAGAATTCAGATGGACTTTGGCTGGGGACCTTCACCATCTCAGCTCTTACACTTAGAAGGCCATGAAAAATGAGGGAAAAGAGCTTAATTCCCACCTTCTACTCTACCTGGACCAGCCAACCACTTAAGTGTTAGGATAAAGTAGGAGGCACACAGCAAAATCAGTGGATGAGAGACTGGGTTCCACTTATGCTGAACTGTGTTGTCCCACAGCAGTAAGAACTAATGTTTCTTGACAAGACTGAGAACGCAGAAAAAGACTGGTCAATAATCAGGCTAAAGGGCTCCTAATCCTATAAGAAATGTGTGAGCATGAAATGAGATTTGTATTTATAAAGTTCTGTAGAATACAAAAGTACCTAGTACCACAGATGATATATACTAGATACAAGTTCAATAAATATTCAAATATTTCCTCCTTCCTCTTTTCCCCCTAAGTGTTTTGTAGCTCTGCTAGGTAATGTAAAGTCATATACCATATGTTAGAGGTTGTTTTCATGTATACTTATTTCTTCTATCAAGAGTTCTATGAACTCTTGGGGGAACAGAGACTTCTTTTTCGCATTTGTTCTCTTTGTTTTATTTTGAACTCTACATAATTATTAAGAATTGATATTTATTCTACTTTTCAACAACAGACTAAGATCTAGTTTCTACTCATGAAGAATAAGGCAAAAGTGAACTTCTAATAAATCAAGTATGACCAAAAATTTTCACTGAACTTTGGAGCAAATATGTAAGAAAGTAAAATATCTAGATCTTAAAATATTTAATTTGCTTTGGGGCTACAAAGCAATCCTCCTCTCCTCCTTCCTCCCCTTCCTCCTCCTCCCTCCTCCTCCTCCTTCTTCGTCACTGGTCCTAGAACTTGAGCTTCTTTTGCTCAAGGCTAGCATTCTACCATTTGACCCACAGAGCTACTCTTGGCTTTTTCCAAGTAGGCTATTGGAGATAAAAGTCTTATGCACTTTACTGCAAGGGTTGGCTTCAAACTTCCATCATCACATCTCAGCCTCCTGAGTAGCTAGGATTACCCATGTGAGCTGCCAGCATCCTTTTGTTCTTTGTTTTTCTTTAATTTCATTTTTAATATTGTGGGTCACCCCTCTCCCAAGGTAGGCAAGTGCTCTACCACTGAGTTACATATACCCACCATCTTCATGCAGTATCACACAATTAGCTACTAAAAATTCCTTTATATATGTAATCCTCAAGATAAACTCTTGTTTCAACAACATCTTTAAAACTCACAATATGAAACACATACTTCCCTTCTGTCATGTATGAGAAATAATCTGAGAATCACTGGGCATAGGATTTGTTATAGTATGTAATGGCAAAATAGTTCAGTCAAGATTTCAGTGAGTGCTTTTGGTGAAGCTAAAGTTAAATATGAACCTCAGAGGGGAAGTTTGATGGAAATAAGTAAAATTTACATGTAATTCAAAACTGTAATCCATTTTAAACTTTTCCTTCACTTAGCCTGGCTTCAGTGGCTCACACCTATAATCTTAGCTACTCAGGAAGCTGAGATCTGAGAATCACAGTTCAAAGCCTGCTCTGGGCAGGAAAGTCTGTGAGATTCTTACCTCTAATTAACCACCAAGAAGCCAGAAGTAGAGCTGTGGAACTCTGAGCCTTGAGCAAAAAAGCTCAGGAACAATGAATGCCCAGGCCCTGAGTTCAAGCCCCAAGACTAGTACCTAAAGACAAAAACAAAAACAAAAAAAACCCTCTTTTCCTTCACTAAGACTTTATCAGGTATATACTTTCATTTTATTATTGGTAACACAAACTATTTAAACCAGGTAATGTTGTAAAGTCTCTACTAGGTCTGAAATGTGGGAGTCTGAGTAGCACCTCTTTGTTGTTCCAGGAGTTTCCAGAAAGCAGCTGAGTGATTCACCTCATTCTATCTCCCTCCACCCCTCACTCATAGTCAGATAGAGGTGAACACATACACAACAAAATGAAGAAATGTTTGCTGGAAGGAGGATGAAGAGACTGACTCAGAGAATTTGGGAGTATTCAAGGGGGCAGTGATGAGCTATCTATGACAGCAGAAGTTATTTCTACTCACCCCACAGTCATTGGCTCCATCTCCACACATGCCCACATAATAACTGCAGGGGAAAAGATAGGGAAAATGAATGGCATGGCAATACCTTCGCATCATTTCTATCACAACTAACTCATAGGTAATGTGTGTATGTGTGTGTAAGTGTATGCTGAACATACATGAGATCATGCTGAAGGCAAATTACTTGGACAAACATAGTCCCATAGGAGGAAAGGCCATTGCATTATTTAAATTGTTTCGATCAATCACACTGAAACGGTAGTGATATTGCCAAGGTCAACAGCCAAAACAGTGATCACACACATCAGAACGTGTCCTCTTTCACACAGCCTACTACAGAGCTCATCCCCTAACCTGGCTGAATTCTGGTTGCTGATGAGGGTTTAGAGGTCATAAATTTCAATGAGAAACATTGGAGATATAATTTAGAAGACAAAACTAGAGGCAAGTACCCATACTCCTACTGCAGCTCAGAGTGACAATGAAATAATATGCCTCCATCCAAAGCAGTCAGATGTGCTAGCATTTTATATGTAGAGGAGTAAAACTTAGAGCTGCTGTCAGAAAAGGAATTTCAGGTGCTTTCTATTATTACTAGAATTGATTGGTTATAATACAATAAAGAATTCGGTGACATTTTCCCCAAATCTGATAAAACAATGAAATCAACTAAGGGATAAATATCAGGTTCTTACTGCTGGTTGGGCCAAAAACAAAGACTCTTTTGTAGATCAGATTGGTCAAATGCATATGGTTCAGTCTGATATTGGGCTGAAATATTGGGCTGGATTTGGTATTGGGATAATGTTGGATGGAAATCACCCTATAAGCATATGCACACGTATGTCATCACAGTGCCCATATGAGCTGAGAGTGGCTTCCATCCTTCATACGTAATGCATGTATCTGATCTCTGTATCACTCTAATGCCCTTGCCTCTTCTGGCATTCCCTGATTTCAGAAAAAGAATCTGCACAGCCTTATGCACAACATAGATGATAAAACCAGGAAGAGGAAGATGGAGAAATTGAGATGACAGCTTACTCTCAGATAGCATGTGCTTTCCTGAGTTAATTTTGCTTTAGGGACAAAAATTTCTCAGGTATTTGAGACATGTGAATGAACAGGTCACTTTAGATACTGGTCATTCTCCCAGTGGGAAAGCATTATGGGAGCTATTACGTTGTATTTGACTCTCCCAATTTGTCCTAGTACTCATAAGCAATCATCCAGAGTTTCACTACTCTCTGTTGTTGTTGTTGTTTTAAATTGCAGTCCAGAAACCGTAAAACTCACAGAAGGCAAAAAGCTGATCTAGTCTAAACAAAAAAAACTGTTTCTCTCTGATGTAACTTGGTCATCTATGTTTTTGAGTGAGATAAGAAAGGACACCGCGATTACAGAGATGCCACTTCACTTCTTGCCAAGAAGGCTAGAAATTGCTCACCTATCATCTAATGAGTCATCCTAGTAGTCACTCCTACACACTCCCAATTTTTCCATGCTAAACTATAGAACTCTTTCCCATCATTTCTTTCCTTCACATTTAAGCAGGAGATCTTCTACAAGATGCTCTTTGAGTACCAAATGGATGCTACAGCAGTGTAGGCAGCTTTAAAATGACCCTCAGTGGTCTGTGGCATCCTGCAATTTATTAACAGTGTGAAATCCACTCTCTTGAGTGTGGGTTGGACCTGATGATTTGCCTTGAATGAAGAGAAGACAGGAAAACTGATGGGATGTCACTTCTGAGATTAGGATATAGAAAGCAACAATGTCCACCTCTCTGGGTCTCTTTCTTTGTGTCTCTGTCTCTCTAAATACTTCTCTGTGTCCGTTCTCTCTGTCAGTCTCTGTCTCTATATTTCTTTTTTGCTTAACCTCATGTAAGCCAATAGTGACATTATGCAAGTTCTCTTTGTGAAATGGGTCATGTCTCAAAGAACTAAGAGTGGCTTCTTCCAACCATCAAGGAAAGATGGAGGTTCTTAGTTCCAGGGTCCACAAAGAGGTAAATCTATCCAGCAACATAAGAGTGATTCTGGTGGTAAAGCCAAAGCCTTGAAATGATTACATCCTGGCCAACACCTGATTGCATCCTTTGAGACCCAGACTTTAACTGAGCCATACCTGGAGTCATAACCTACAGTTACATAAAAGTGATAGATAATGTTCTAAGCCTCTAAGGACTGGAAGAATTTGTTACACAGCAATAGATAACAGATACATTTTTTCTTTCATGCTATACCACCTACTTTAATTTCTGAAATTCTTCAACAAGGCTTGATTTCTGCCCAGGAGACATTCTTGCAAAAATAGTTCCATTTACCAGAATCTAAAGAGAAAAATAACCATTGCCATATGATTGGTACCCAAGAACATTTTAAAAATAAAAATCCTGAAAACCCATTCCTGGTCTCTGATTTAATATAGCACTAGGAGGTATGTCATTAGAGCTGATGTCAGGAAGGGGAATAAAGGAATTTAATGCTTTAATATAAAAATTTCACTTTAAGCCTTCTATCACAACTCTATTACATTTTTGCAGACCATTTTTTCTAGCTGGGGTGACCTCTAATTAATAATAATAACTAAGAAGCAGCACATAGGGATAAAAATACTTAAGGAAATTCAGCTCTTTTTATTACTTACTGTCTGTCTCCACAGTTCCAGCAAGGCAGAGAAAATAACCATAGGAAAAAAGTTATATTAAGTGAAGTAAGCCAGACCCAAAGAGACATAAGTTGCATGTTTTCCCTCATTTGTTATAACTAAAAAGTACCTATAAATATACAAGTAAACACATTGAATGGTAAAAGGCAAAAAAGTATATTTGGATATGATAAATCATACAGGACTCTAGACATTCACACAATGAGACCAAAGGAGAGATACTCTTCAGAGGTGATCACAAAGGTTCAATTGTAGCTATGGGCATATCATCATATAAAATGATGTTTATCTAAATGAGATCCAAGAAATAGAAACAGGAGGTTCTATGTTTCTTGTTTTTTCTTCTCCTTTGTCACTGTTTTTGATTTCTGTAACTTTTGTCTTATATCTGTTTTGGAGGTGGGGTAAGAGGGATCCCAGAAAAGGTGGAACAAATGGTGAACAAATGCATAGGGTTACCCACTAGACACTATGTTAAAAATGGGGGAGGGAGTTGGGGGAAAAACTGGGAGAAAAGGAGGAAAGAGGTGAAACTATTCAACTGTTTAACTCCTCTGTATATTACCCTTACAATAACAATAAAATTGAGCTTAAATTTTTTTAAGGAAAATAGTGATAGACGAGAAGTTGAGAAATAGATTCTGATATTAGCTGTGCAAGCCTCAGGAAAATGACTTAGCCTATCTGAGTCTCAACTTCCCATCTGGAGGAAAAAAAAAAAAGAGCTTGCTATAAGCCTTTCAAGTCTAGATTTGTTGGTCCCTGACTGGCAAGTTGACCAATTTTTTTCAGGCCTTGCTAAAAAATAGTTGCTGTCCTCAGCTTTTGCTCCATTTATCTTTTCCACATTGACAGCACAACCCTGCACAGCACTATTTTAAACTAGGACACACAGAGGACAAGATAACAAATGAGGTTGAAAATAAACCACAGGGCCTTTGTTTCCCCGTGCTGTAATTTAAGAATCCAGACAGGAGGGGAATGGAGATCAGGCTGACATGAGCTGGTGGCTTTCAAAGAGGCTGACCCATAAAACAGGAAATACTTTTGGAATGATCTGGAAGTTCTCCAAAGTGGAGAGGGAATGAGGGAGGGCAGCCGAGACTGATTGAAAACAGGGGTGAGAAGCTGGATCAGAACACAAATTCTGAAGGGTGGCCCTGAGTATGCACTGAGCCAGGTTAGTATAGGTAGAATCAGGAGCTTTCTGTGTGAGCAGTGACTTCTTTTTTCCTTTATAATTTTTTATTTACATTTGGTTGTGTTGGGGATCAAACTCAGGACCTTGTGCGTAAGTGCTTTACTACTGCACTACCTCCCCAACCCATAATTTGCTTATCTACATATGCTAAGTACAGTAGTCTGACTCACTTTGCATACCTTCTGGTATCCAAGGCAAAGTAGCAAAGGATCTCTACATTAGGACTCAGAGATTTTCTCAAGAAGATATAACAAGTTCGACATGAGCCGGGAATTCAGTCTACCATTCTACCAAAGGTATCTTGCAAGCGAGCAGTGACTTTTTAGGTATGCTTCCTAACTAACACAGTCTCAGCTGAACATCATCTTCATTGTTCTCTTCCTCTCCGTGCCTCACTAATTTGAAGAGCAAAACAAAACACTTCCCTTCTCGAGTACTTACTTTGAGAAGCAAGCTGTAGAAATGCTGAAAAAGCACCTGATAGGTCTTCCCACTCATTGCAAAATGGTAATAGCTCCCTCTTTCTCCTTCAGGTATGGAACTGTTTCCAAGAGGAATGTAGGTTTCCTAAACTCGAGAAAGAATTATTTCTACATTAGCTATCAAGGACTGTCTCTGCTTTCCTGTGTTGTCCTGGAGGAAAATGTGTTCATTTCTCATTGCAAAGTGAAGGGCAGCAAATACAGAATGTGTTACTTGGCTTGGAGCTTTGTTCTCCAGGAAGAGCATTCTCAAAACGCACCCCATATTATATGAATGCATGATACTTAGACCTCATGGGTCCTTTCCTAGGAGATAAATCCTTACCAACTAGGAATAAATTACAAGAAAGAGCAGGAAGCATATTTCTACTTCATCCCTCTCCTCACACAGCCTTAGGTTTGCGGAGATCTCTTACATTCATTTGTTCAGTTTCTTCACTGGAAAGTAGCTGACTCCTTTTCCAAATGTCTAGGTCCTTTCAGCACTTGATCCCTATCTTTTGTTACGACCCTATTGAAGCAGGTGACCCTGAATGAAGATGATGTTGCCCAGATCTTCTTCTGCATCATTGCTATTCCTGCTCCTAACCCCCTCCCCCATTCCTGCCACGTGTCAGTGTTCCCTTTTTCTGTGTTCCAGGCCCACTTAGCTTCTAGCTGCAAAGGAAGATTCTGATGATGTCAGTGTATGCATAGCCTCCACACCTGACCAGTTAATGGTTTTTCATGCAACACTTCTCAGAGAGCCTTACATTTTTGTAGGACTCTGAATTCAAGTACTATAGGAGATGAGAATATTCCCTTCTTTAGAGAAAAATCAAGACCAGGTATGGTGGTTCATGCCCGGGAATTCTAGCTAATCTAGAAGAAGAGATCTGGAGAATTGTGATTCATAACCAGCCTGGACCAAAAAATTAGCAAGGCTCCATCTCAATCTGTCGTCCAGGTATGGTGGCATACACATGATACATACTGCAAAACAACTAAGAAAGGGCATTTAATAAGGCACTCTACTGGACATAAGGACAGGAGTATCTTTTACTTGTACTAGGAAGGTAGGAAGTGGAAGTATAGAAAGCCAGAGAGGAGGAAGAAACCTAAGACCGTGAAGTAACTTCCTCCAATGATAACCTAAATTTCACCAAACATATTAAACCCCTGAGTGAGGTGAGGGCTGTTCGTTAGTTTGTTAAATTCCTGAGTTCTGAGTCTGAGGTCTAAAAGCCAGGCAACACATATTGATGGAGAAGCAAGTGAGCGCACAAGGAAAATAGCAGCAGAAGGATGAAAGGAGAGAGAGGGAGGGATAGAGAGAGCTATCATCATTTACATCCTATGTGGTTGAAGGGGCAGGGCCATTTTGTACAGTTGTGCAGTTGGTGTGGTGCACAAATGTCTACTCTACACTCCACAATCTGAAAGGCTGCTCAGCCTGAAGCAAGGGAGCATTTCTGTAATTCCTCACCAGGAGGCCTCTCTCTTTGAAGTCACACAAAAGCATCAGTGCTACATTTAGTGATGGGATGTCAAACTCTGGCCATTCTCTTCATATGAAGGAGCTCTCTGTTCTAAGTGCACAGGATGACTGCTGGCTAAAGACACCCACCACCTGTCAGTGTTCTGTCAAAGACACAGTGTAAACAAAATGCCCATGAATTTTTGGTAGGACACAGACCTGAGTCTGGTTTCTGCTGTACATCTCATCAGTTTATGTGATTCTATTTTCTTTACTTTCCTTTTTTTGTTGGTTGTGGAGCTTGAACTTAGGGCCTAGGTGCTGTCCCTGAGCAATTTTGCCCAAGGCAAGCTATCTACCACTTTGAGCCCCAGCACCACTTCCAGTTTTCTGGTGGTTAATTGGAGATAACAGTCTCATGGACTTTCCTGCCTGGGCTGGCTTTGAACCACAATTTTCAGATCTCAGCCTCCTGAGTAGCTAAGATTACAGGTGTGAGCCACCAGTGCTTGGACTTGATTCTATTTTCTTGTATGTACTCTGAACAATTAGCCTAACTGCATAGGGTTTTGTAAAGATCAAATAGTAATTACATAGGTATAAATCAGACATAACAACACATGGGAACCTCTGGAAAAAGGGGATGATAACATCTCTTCCACTCCAGGGATTCTGAGTTGTTTGGTAAAGCCTGCATTCAGAAGATTGGATGACAGCAACTGCACTACACATCCAGGACTGAGCTGTGTTCAGAGATGCTTTGCAAACTATAGCCCTCTGGACAGATGTGAGAATTATTACTGCAATGACTTCTACAGCTGAACCAGCTGTGCTGTACCAGGGCCATATGCCACCAGTGCAGGCCTAGAAAAAGGGGCTTCTATATTTGCTCACATTCTTCTTCCCAGGTCCAGTCTCTTGGTTCTCTACCAGCTGCCAAGACACAGCTGCAGGAACAAGCTCTTCTGGCTCATTGGCTTCCACAATGATGACTTGACTGCCTGGAGGAATCATTTCGGAATTCTTTGCAACAGTAATGGCTGTTTGAAGATTGTCACCTGAGATACAAAGAAATTTTGGCCTTGTTTTAGATACAAATCTAGCAACAACCAGTACTGAGTTGCCTCCTTACCACCTTTCTTTATGATCTTTTGGGATATTTATTGCTCCCTGGTTTGTTTTATAACCGTTTATCTTCTCTTCCCCCCACCCCAAAATGCCTTAGTGGGTATACACTAACTTCGCAATACTTAGCCTTGTTTCCAGCCCACAGTGAATGTGCGTGTAAACTCTTCACAACTGACTGACTAGTCTTTAGGAAACAGATAGTGCTTAGTAGTAAACATAATCAAATTCTCCAGTCTGATAGCATAAGGCCATCCTTGAAATCTGGAACACTTAGAGACAGGCCATGCTTGGGTTTGCAGAACACATACATCATGCCTGGCTTTTATGCCCAGGGGACCATCAATCAGAGCTCACATCCTTCACATAGAAGTCTTATTGGGACTTTCTATGACAGCACATCATCTGTCCTCATGTTTAAACATTCACCATGAGCCTCCTGATACTCTGCAGTTTCTCACAAAGAGGAATGGACATTATACAGAGAGAATGAGATATGGACCCTGCCTGCAGAGCTCCTGGACCAGTTACACAGGGCTGCTGACCACAAGGAACAAATTCGACAGCAGAGTATCTTCTTTTCTGGCTCAGTTGCAGTGACGCGTTCAGCACATTATGCCCAGGATAAAGTTGGCTTGTCAGGCCTCTAGAAACAAACCTGTAACCATTATGGTCCTGATGTGGGCCTCACTCAGCTCCTTTAAGACCGGTTTGGTTTCCTTTTTCAAACGATTCTCCATAATGAGAAGTCCCAGAAATGTTAACTCGGACTCCACTTTCTCCCTTTGGATTCAGGAGAAAATCAATATTAAAGCATAATTACTTAGTCTCAAGGGTTGATTTGCTTATCTCTTCTATGTCCATTGTAAAATTATTCCCAAAAGCCAACCTATGGAAACAGCTCAATTATTTTTCTTTCTTTATTTCCAAACTTCATTTCCATTGAACAACTTCCCATTTCCTTCCTCCACTAGTTCTTGATAATCACCATTTTATACTCTACTTCTAAGAGCTTGATTACTTGAGACATTTTCATATAAATGGGATTGTGTAGTACTTTTTCCTCTTTCCACTGGTTTATTTCACTTAGCCTGATGTTCTCAGGTTTGTCCATATTGTCTCCAATAGAAAGATTTTCTTACTTTTTTTATGTTTTAATTGTCAAGGTGGTATACAGAGGATTTTCTCACTTTTTAAGTCTAAATAATATTTCATTTCATGTATATACTACAGTTTCTTGAGCTATTCATCCATTGATGGATATTAAGGTCATCTCCCTTTCTTTGCCATCATGAATAAAGCTGTAAAGAACATAGAAGTATAGTAAACACCTCATTGAAACCTTGATTCCAATTCTTTCGGTTGTATTGCTGGACATGGGATTATGAGATAGCTGGATTATATGGTTAACTATTTAACCACCTGAAGACTAACCACACAATTTTCTAGAGCAGCTGCACTATTTTACATTCCTCTATTTTCTCACCAACACTTTAATCATCATGGGTGAACTTGTTGTGGTTTTGATTTGCATTGTACTCATGATGAGCAAAGCTATCTTATATGGAGAAGGTCTATGCAGGTCCTTCTCCATTTTATTTTATTTTTTAATGTTTTTTATTGTAAAAATAGTGTACAGAGGGGTTAAAGTTACATGAGTAAGGTAATGAATACATTTCCTATCGAGCACTGTTACCTCCTCCTTTGTTTTCCCCCTCCCATCCCTGCCCTCCCTACTTCCCAAACTTCTCCCTCCCCCCAAATTGTCAAGTTTGTTTTCTACATAGTGTCTTATACATCTCATTGTTACAATAAGTCAACCTGTATCCTTGTTCCAGCATTTTGTTATTTCCCTTCCCCTCCCCAAATTAGAAAAAATACAAGATGCAGGGCACCGACATCAAATACAGTGAAAACAGGGGTTATACCATGGGGGAAGAACATATAAGAGAAACAAAAAATCACATAGTACATTTTAGATACATTAAAAACAATAGCAAGAAAGAAAGAACAAGTTGTGTCCCTATCTTGGGGTTCATTTCACTTAACATCATCTTATATGGTCATATGTACATAGCTTTGGAGCTTTTTTGTTTGTTCTCAACTTATACTAGTTATTGCAAATAAGGGAAACCATGAGACCTATGTTTCTTTGGGCCTGACTTACTTCCTTACTTCACTTAATATAATTTTTTCCAAGTCTTTCCATTTCCTAACAAATGAGGCAATGTCATTCTTTCTGATGGAGGCATAGAATTCCATTGTGTACATATATATATATCACATTTTCTTGATCCATTCATCTACTGAGGGGCATCTGGGTTGGTTCTATACCTTAGCTATGGCAAATAATGCTGAGATAAACATAGTTGTGCTGGTACCTTAGTATGGCTTTGTTTGTGATCATTTGGGTAAATGCCTAAAAGTGGGATTGCTGGTCATAGGGGAGCTCTATGTGGAGTTTTGAGGAACCTCCATACTGCTTTCCAAAGTGGTTGAACAAGTTTACAACAATGCAGTAGGCTTCCCTTTTGGCCACATCCCCTCCAGCATCTGTTGTAACTGGGGTGAGGTGGATTCTCAATGTTGTTTTTATTTGCATTTCTTTTATGGCTAGAGAAATTGAGCATTTCTGCCCACTTTAAATCAGACTTTTTATTCTTTTGCTATTTAATCATATTACTCATCTAATATTAATTACTTATCATACACATGGCTTGCAAATATTTTCTCCCATCCCATAGGTTTGTTGCCTTAGTCTGTTGATTGTTTCTTTTGCTCTGCAGAAAAGTTTTATAGTTTAGTGTTCATATACAAAAGATACAACATATGTAAAAGGGAAAGATTTCTGATTACCAGTTGGAAATGGAAAACACTTAAACATAAACTGGAAACTGTGAACCTCCTAGAAGAAACATAGGGTTTTAAAAATTATATTTAAGTAGTTATACAAAAGAGTTGACATTAACAAAGCAGTTCGTGAAGTAATTGATGCTGATCAATGTCACCCCTTTCCACATCCCCCCCCATCCTCCCCCATCAACCCTTCCTTCCCTCTTCTTAATTTTGTAACATTTGATTCTTAACTACATTCTCCTCCTCTTCTGCTCCTCATCTGTCCACCTTTTTCCCCTCAACTCCATCACACCCCTTTTGAGTACTCACTTTCTGGTGTTTTATTTTAGGGAACTTGGCCTTTGCCTTCTTAAGGAATTACACTATTGAGCTCTCCCTTGAAGCTACCATAGTTCTGTTAATGTTTTTGTATATACTTGCACTCAGTCAACATATTTACTTACAAGTATATAAGCTAAATCTTCCACATACAAGGAAAAACAATTTTGGCAATGATTTTCTTAGATGTGACACCAGAAGCTCAGGCAATGAAATAAAAAATAGACAAAGGTTTTTATTTCTGTTTTACAACTCTTTCATTCCCTGCTTGGGGCATTTTGTCACTTTGACACTCCACCACACTGCCAGTCTAACAGTGGCATGATGGCATGGGCAAGCAGGTTACTGTTCCAGGCACAGCTCTGTCTCCAAGGGCTGTGTATCTTGCTCTCTCCTTTCACTCAGATCCCTGCTCAAATCTCTCTCCACAATCCTGCCTTCCGTCATTTTCCCACTAAAACCATTTAAGACTTGACAATTACCTAATGCTTTATAGATTTTCTTTATTACCTATTTCCCCTGATTGATATAAAATTCTTAAGGACAAGAAGTTTATTTTAATCACTTCTGAATGAACCCACAACTTCCTTGAACATCTAATACACCCTAAGGGCGAAATTTACTAGACCAATGGAAGGGGTTGACATTTGATGAAATATTTCTTTTATGTTTTACTCTAGAGTGATTTTTTTTGGCCTAAGAATCTCAATAAACTCTTTTAATTCTCTCTTTGTCACTCTAATTTTAAAGATGTGTTTTCTGCTCCTGATTGGAAAACTTTGTTAAATATGATTTCAGAATAATACACTTCAAAACTCTTGTCTCTACTGTTTGAAAATAGAAACTAAATAGCATACATGATGTGCTCCTTGTGTCATCTGAAAGAAAAGGGTGATAGTTGGAAATCTAGCATATTTGATCATTTTCTTATTTTAATAATATCTATTTTACTATTAGTTCTAACATGAGAACAGAACCTCATAGCTATGTGGCAGGGTTGATTCCTATGCTCTATTACTAGCTATGTAAATCTTTTCTTCACACAGGACCTTAACATTTACTATTCAAATCTGTGCTTAATAAATTACAAAATCCCATGTGTTTGGGACTTTGCTTGTTCAATAACAACCAAAGCCTAGAATACTGAATCTGTGTGTATTTTAAAATGAGCTTTGTGATTGCATATCAAAGACTAATGTCATGACAGGAAGGTTGCTTGGAAATCATCTAACTCCACAGTTTTCAAATGATGAACCAGGCACAGAATAAGGAGAAAGATTTGTGATTATCTTACATTTAATAATATTGAACTACAGATCTCTGTATCTTATCTGGAGGAGCCAATTGTTTATAAATAAGGGTAGTGTCTCTATCATCAACATAAATCAAATATAAATAATAATATATAAATATTGATTCAATTTTTCTGTTTTTCTCTACTTCATTGTCATATAATTTTTTAAATAATCTTTCAAATCTGAAGAATACTGGAAGAAAATTAATATATAGATTATCCTTTACTGAGGACAATTTCTCCTTAATACAATTCAGAATATTGAATGGTATGTCTTACATACCATTGAGTTTGTGCTCAATGTCTCCCTAGATCTAAGGGGGATATAGTTGTGAGCCCGGAAAATAAACCCAAGTCTAAAGGATTCTGAAAATCTTTTACATTTTCAACTACTTCCTTCTCTTAGCCCCAGAGAGATACCTACATGTATGTGAAATACCCAAATAAATCACATAATACTCATGGATGTAAGGAGAGTTGCTTATTTGTAATGGGATGACAGCAGAGACCAAGGTGGACAGCATAGTGTGATCCAGAGCAAAGGCAACACATGGTATCTGGGAGTCAGAAATCTCACCTTCCATTGGTTCTTTCCCTAACCAGCACCGTGACTTGAACAAATTTTCTCTAGCCTCCAACTGCCAGGTGAGATTGGTTCTCAAAAGAAGCCTCCTGGTGATGTGCACTGTCCACCTACCTACCTCCAAGACTCCTTCACTTCATGCACACAGAGCCTGCTCCAGTATGAGTTTCTGATTTCTTACCTTTCTAAGTTCTCCACTTCTGAAAGCCTTCCTGTCTTCAGGGCTCTATGGGCAAGGGCAATGACACGGAAGCCTTGCACTGTGTAGTTCCTCAGCTCCTGGGGGAAATTCTTGGGCACTGTCAGGAAAGAGGGAAGGAGTAAGTGAACGGTGGTGCTCAAGGCTGCCGGCTGTTCAGCAACTGCAGAAGGCTGTCACTGAGCCTTGTTTTAACTTTCCCTTGTTCATAAAAGTGCTTTAGTAGAATAAATACTTTTAACAACAACCCCAAACCACAAACAACTTCATCAGCGCATTCTAATTGCTCTGAGGGAAATAATTGCCAAAATTCATACATTAAATTCAAAATTCATACATTAAAGACTAACTCCTAAAATGACTGTATCTGGACATGGAGACTTTGAGATCATGAGTGGAATTATGATACAAGAAGACACAAGAGATGACCTTCCTGAACCGTGTGAAGATAGAGCAAAAAGGCTACTATCTTCAAGTCAGAAAGACAGCCATAACTAGGAACTGTGATAGCCCATATTGATTGATCTTAGAGAAGAATTTTAAGAACTATAAGAAGTAAATCTCCTGTGTTTAAGACAATCAGTATTTTATTATAGCAGCTGACTAAGGCAAATTAAGTGTCCATTTTGACTGGGCTCAGTTAGGTCAGATCTTAAATAAGAAAAACAGCTCATCTTCTAAATCAGGAGTTGATAAAGTATGGTACACAAGCCAAGTTTATTTCTTGTAAATAAGGATTCATTTGAACATACCCGTGCCTCTGTTTATTGCCTGTGGCTATTTGGGAAAGACAGTGGTAGAGTTGAGTAATAGATTTGAATATGGTATGGACAACAAAGCTTAAAATATGTAACTGGTACTTTACAGAAATTTTTCAACTCCTGCTTTAGATGACAGATAACATGATGCCCACATATGTTCGTGTGTTGTCATGGTGACTACATTCATATATTATAAGCTGTCCATGTGGAGAAAATGGACCACAGTGAGAAGTATAGCAGCCCAGGGAGAAAAAAAAACTGAGTTCTGTTCTGCACTCTGCTCCTAACTAGCTTTCTAGCTTGGCCATGTTGTTTCTCTTCTGCATTTCAGTTTCTCATACAAAAATGAAAAGATTATAGATCCTTATGTTGCCACTTAGCCGTACAATTTCTGTCATTTTGAAATATTTCTAGTGATGGGGATTTACTTTCAAGGAAGAGGCCACCCTTCATTTCTCTCATGGAGTTATGGAATCATGGAAGCTAGAATTCGCCTATGTGAAAGGTGGTCAGGATTGGAGGAAGCATTGAAATCGTGGTCCCCAGGGAAGAGTAGCAGATGAAAGGCCCAGCACTTCCTGGTAGAGCTGGGGCAGCAGACACTGTCAAGCTTAGAGTCATGAAGATGCTCACTCTGCCTGCACAGCTGAAAACAAAGCAGAGCAAAGCCAAGTACAGATGTGGTCTGGGAAAAGGGAGGTCATGGGAAATACAAGGGAACCCAAAGTCAAAAAGAGGGGGAGGATTTATTATTATTATTATTGTGTTATACAGAAGGGTTACCATTTCACAACTCAGCCAATGTATACATTCCTCCTTTGGACATCATTCCTTCCTTCATTTGCCCCGTTTCTCCTTCACATACCTGCCCACAAGTTGCATACTTCATTTTCCACAAAGTGTATGATGAATATCATGACTGTATTCATTTACCCTTCTTCCCTCCTTTTCTGCATTCCCCCCTTTGCCCAAGTGGGGCGGAGATTTTTAAAGTTTTTCTTTTTAAATATCACTTGATGCTGGTGGCTCACGCCTATAATCCTAGGCACTCAAGAGGCTGAGATCTGAGAATCGTTGTTCAAATCCAGCTAGGCAGTAGTCCTTGAGATTCTCATTTCAAATTAACCACCATGAAGCTGGAATTGGAGCTGTAGTTAGAAAACTAGGTTAAAAAACAAGGTTAGAAAACTAACCTTGAGTGATAAAGCTAGGGAACAATGCTCAGGCCCTGAGTTAAAACCCCAGAATTGTCACAAAGACAAATGCTAAGTGAAGTAAGTCAGACCCAGAGAGACAAAGGACACACATGCTCTCTCATATGTGGAAGCTAGAACTAATGTATAGATGTACAAGTAAACACATACAGGGTTGTATGCAAGTGCACACAAATGTATTAACTGAAGTATGGTATTTGCAAGTGAGAATTCAAATGGTGTAAGTCCTTCAAAAAACTAACTCACAGCCCTCCAAGAAACTGACACTTGAAAAGGTGTATGTATGTATGGGGAGCGGGGATTGGGAAAGCCAGGAGGAGAGGCATAAAGGAATAAAGAGTAGAGGAGAGGAGAGAATGCAGTCAGACAACCGAGGGGAGGGCGTGGTTTGAGAGAGATTAAAGAGAATAATAAAAGGGGTGACATTGATCAAGGTGCATTATACTTATGAACTGATTTGCTGAAGAGAAGCTCCTTGGTAGAGCTACTTAAAGACAATGAAAACATAATTTAAAAAAATCTCCACATACGGAGAAAAGTGAAGAGCAAACCGTCACAAAATCTAGCATTTGTGTACAAGCCGATGGCCACCAACAATCATGAGGAGAATGCAGATGAAAATCAGAGCCCAAAAGGCCAAATTTATCCAAATGAACTCATTTGAATGCAACAGGATTCTTACAAATCTGGCTGTCACATAGAAGGTGATGTGTGTAAGACAAAAACAATGATGTAAATCATCTTATAGTCTGGTCTAGAAAGATGAAATTGCTGTAACAATGATTAATTGCTGTCTTCTAATACCATCTAATTCACTCTAATTACTTTTTCCCCCTAAAAGCTATATCTCTTCACCTTCTCCTTCCTCTGATCTGTCTGAGCCCATCATAGCGGAGCCTTCTAGCTCTTCCTAGAGATGAGAGAGAATTCCTGACAGTAGAACTAGAGCCACACACTCCATCATTGGTTTCCTCTGAGGGCTTAGCATCCTCCTCCCTAGTTTCCTGCGAAATGTGCTCCACAGCTCTCTGCAGACAGCCCCACTTTGGTGGTCTCTCTGGACTATGGTCCAATTCTTCCTCTCTTTCTCTCTACCCTAAAAATTTCCCCTCTGCTTCAAAAGATCCTCTGACCCCCTTTCTCTCTACCCCGAAATGGCTTTTGCTCCACCTTCATTGATTGCCATTCGTTCTTGCTGTTTTGTGACGGGGTGATGATTGATGATGTTGGTGTCTGCTTTATCTTTGACCATTCGAGATTTTTGTTTTTATCTCTTGAGAGAGAGAAAAGGTGCCAGTACCTGATTCAGGTCTGCAGAACCTGGCCACCATCTCTGGGGCACCTTTCATGTAGACATGGAAATGTCCCTCCCCAGCCAGCTGAGTGATCACAGACATCCTCTGCAGGCTGGAGGAAAATGGAAACTGGCGCAAGATGGTGATGGCTTCCACGGGACTCTGCAAGGGCATCAAGGAAAGGGAGCTCAGGAAGACTCGAAGTGCTGCGTAGCAGATGCACACCCGTAAAACTGGTTTGCTGGGCAAGGAGCCCAGGCACAGTGTGAGGTAATATGTTTTTCACAAGACTCATATTTTTCTGGCTCCTGTTTGATCTGCTGCAAGATAACTCTCCCTTGGCTTCCTAGAGAAATCCTAATCACCTTCCAACCCGAGCTCACCTCCTCTGACTCACTTCTCTCTCCCAGGAGCAGTTTTCCCTCCCACCACTGACTCCTACTGCTCTTTCCCCTAGCCTGTCCTAGAGCACTTGGCACATTGTATTTCACTTATTTGCACCTGTATTGATTTCCTACCATCTCGGCGCTTCTCCCTCCCAGAGCTCAGCACATCTTGCTGAATGAGTGCTGAGTAAACTAATGGATGAATTCAAGCCTGGAAGAATGGCCAAGTCAATGTGGAATTCATTAAGATACAACTGAGTAATAGAAACATCAAATGTGTGAAAGCCAAAGAAATTCTGCCAATTTTAAAGGGAATAAATGGTATGATTCAGAGAAGCAAATCAGACCTGACTGGCTTTTGGTCCTGGTCTTATTGTTGGGTTTGAATTTGACATGCCGAATTTGTACAAGTCCATATTATTATCTTCCATTTTCTGTTACAAAATGAAAACATTTATAAGATTCCTTGGAGAAAAAGAAGCAAGAAAAGGGTTTTCATATATATATTTTATCACACTTTAATCTTTTCAATACCCCTTTCACAATTTTCTCTTCCAAGACAATCAACTGGATGTCACCATTGTCAAATTTCTATTGTGTTGATTTATAGTGTATATATTATATTATATATATTAGAATGTCAGAAAGACAAACACACTATAAATACAGTCATTCCATGTAGTAATTGATTGAAAAAGTGCTAGCTGCTGATCAGTGGATTAAGTGGAAATGTAGTCTCCAAATTTTGTGGAGCACAACAGTTCTCAGATGAGTCAGAGTTCTGTTCTCAGATCAGTATGAGACTATATCCTTTTGAGGTATTTATGCCACTGTTAAGTTAGTTAGCTAGAGAGTAAGTTAGCTGCTAGCAAATAAAAAGCATATTTGAAATCATTTATATTATTCTCTGGATATTACAATGGTAGGAGTCAATACCGCCTATAAACCAATGTTAGCCAATATTAAAACATGGGAAAGGAAATCATATATACACAATGAAGAGGGAAGATAATCAGAGCAGAGTATCTAGTCTCCACCCTCACTTGGAAGAATCATCCTTTCTCACATCTCAATTTCTTCTGGAAAATATTCTCTCACCTTTTCCAGAGCTGAAATTATAAATAATCTATGAGAACATTTTCCCTTCTCCACTATGTTTAATGGAAGATTCCTAGCAAAGAAAACTCGATTGTTTCTGACTCCACAAATAAAGTGAGCAAATTTTGCATTTTATGCTTTGTTTCGGTGGACACAGCTGCTCTGTCAGACATTCTTACAGAACAAATAAGAAAGATTTATGTTCCCAAAGTGGACCCCAACGTCTACATCACTTGTATAGGTAGGTTGTAGGTTGACTCTCCTAATAGAAAAGAGGGACCCTTCAGCTCAAGGTCATATGTAGTAACAGGACTGCAAGACATCAATTTCTAATGATACATGTAAGGACATTCTGCATAGTAAATATACTCATTCTTTTCCACTGAGATCCACAACACTGGTTACTACCTTGTCTTGTGTCAAAAATTTCTTCATAGCAGGTACACATTTAAATTTATTGATTTCAGAAATTTCCCTTCCTACCAGGTTTTCCCCTTAATAAATTTTACCACCAGTAGAAAAAAAATTTCTTACTCTCCACCATCATGTTATGGGCTTTACATCCCTGAAATTATTTATTTTCATTCTTTTATAACGATATTTAAATGCTGCCCTAGCCAGCAGGAGGCTCTACAGTTTAAGACTAGCTTGGGTTACAGAGCAAGACACTGTCTCAAAAATTACCAGTAAGTAAATGTATACATAAATAAATGCTGTCCTGTATTTTATGTGTCATTACAAGTGGCTTTAGAATTCTGTTTTGGGAAGGCAGCGGAAAGTAATTAAGTATCTAATTAATGAATGCTTTCTACTTGCTTGGCACTTCATAGTGCTAAACCTGTTTGGTCTCATGGTCTTAGTGTTCTCTGGAGTCTATGAATGCAGTATGATTATCCCAGATGTGCAGATGAAGAGTCAGAATTCTGGTTCTGGGTTCATACCACAGAGATGGTTTCCTCCCCAACACAGCTGGACAGTATCATACTCAGCCCAAATGGGTCTTCCCGTTTGGTGTGGATATCTGTGCTACACAATAGAGTAGACACCATCCAGTGTGGCTATTTCAATGTAAATAAAATTAACTAATAATTCAGCTCATCCATCGCACTATCCCATTTCAAGTGCTTTGATAGCCACAGATGGCTCTGCCTCTCCAAGAGTGTTTGGAGAATACTTGAACTGTACTATTATTGTTGTTGTTATTGTTGTTGTTATTAATGAATATCCTATGCATGAATCTTCTCTGTATTTTAACTAAAGTTCCAAAATCTTTAGCTCTTCCAGTAACGGCTTCTTCAAATTCTGCTCATTCAACTGAAATAAGCGACGGCCTTACCCAAGCAGTGCCTTCGAACATTTTGAGGTCCAGAGGGTCTCCTTGGATGGTCCCATCCAGAAGGATCAGAGAGTGGCAGCTGGCCATGGCTGCACATAGAGGTCCCCATGGTAAAGCTTTGCCCGACGCAAAGCTATGAACCTCCTGGAAACTGGTGAGGGAGACACTTCAATGGAATTGTTTGTGTACTCTGTCCCTCAAATCTTTCTAAGGTAATACCTCACTCATTAGCTCTACTTTCAAAACCCTTCAGTGGCTCCTCAGGCTTTGGATGACTAAGTTCAGACTCTAACCGGCTGCAGTTCCACCTCATCTTACAGTTGCTGCTTCTACTAATGTCCTTTATGCCCTGATTCTAGATCCAGACCAAATTTCTTTACTTGTCCAGGAATATCCCTGTCCTTGATCCCCTGCTCCCTTGCTTGCTTCATTTTTCAGCCAGAGTATAAAGCCTGCAAGTGATCTTTCTACAACCTTTCTTGGACATTGATATGAATTTCCTTTCTTACTATAATTTCAGAGGGATCAGATACAATCTTAGAGACGTGGAATGTAACTTGTAGACAACCTACACAGTGAAGAACTAGACCTATGAAGGCTGCGAAGTTCCCTGTAAAAAGCCATCTGAGCCGGGCACCGATGGCTCATGCCGATAATCCTAGGTACTCAGAAGGCTGATATCTGAGGATAGCAGTTCAAGGCCAGCCTGGTCAGGAAAGGCCTTTATACTCCTATTTCCAATAAACCACTTAGAAAACTGGAAGTGGCGCTGTGGCTCAAGTGGTAGAGTGCTAACCTTGAGCTGAAGAGCTGAGGTACAGCACCCAGGCTGAGTTCAAGCCCCACCCCACCACTGACCAAAAAAAAGCCATCTGCCTAAGGAAGAAAATCTCCAGATTCATGAAGTGGCGAGGGTAGGAAAGAAGATTGCCTGGTGGCTCCCAGGAAGTATTCCACTAATCATCTCTTTGGAGTTAATCACCATGCCCTAAAACTCCCAGCCCAGACATCGTGCTTCTAATACCCAACTTCCTCCTTGATAGAATAGCCTGACTCAGTTTACTTTCCTTTGTCCCACCTTACAGCTGAACAATGATTAGTCCAGTTGCTTCTACTTCCCCCAAAGCTTTAGAACACTAGACGCTCACAGACTGATAGAGGAATAGAAGCTGCAAACATCCTCTTTCAGTGCTGTGGCCTATAATGGCCCTGCTTGTTTGGACAAAGGACTGGTTGGGACAACTGAGTATCTAGGAACAGACACACACATGAGTAGAGATAGAGCCTTGTCTTCAGCCTAGGACATCTTCTACAACATCATCCTGCCCATACACCTGTGTCTCATGACTGTGCTGCATCTGGTGCTGTTGAAATCTTGGGGAGTCTCTGTGTGACTTCTCTGACTGACAGCTGGCCTCAGCCCAAATCAGGTATCCTTGCTCAAGAGCAGGGGCCATCACACTCAAACTGCAAAGGCAAAGCTTAGCTCTCCTGAAAGGGGACATTTCCTGGGGAGGGTCCTCATTTCCTTCTCTAGCTCTGTTCTGGGGTAGGTATGTATATGACTATCTGCTCCTCTCCCTAGGGTCAGCTTATCACCCATGTCTGTAAAATTTCTACTTAGGCACCCTTCAAAACCAATCTCAAGTGCTATCTTTTTCAGGTGGTTTTCATTGATCCACTAAATTTCAAAATAAACTTCTACCTTTACTTGCCATGTTACAATAAAAGCATCAAGACTGTGTATTATATCAAGTGCTCTTTATTGCTTCTTCCCTAGTCTGACTCTCTGCGTTCATAAAAAAAATTTTAACAGACTGGCTTGTCTGCTGAAGGGAAGAACATCTGAATTCCTTTTCCCCACTTGACTGCATTCCATGAAGGAAGAAATGGGGCTCTTTTTTCTGGGTCCCCCGACCTTTCCTGTACTAAGAAGGCTTTGTAATCTTTAGTTAAACATGGTACTAATTTCACTCTTTTCTCCTCAGTTTTATTCATGTGCTTCCTTAATTACCCAGTTCGTTGTACTCCATTTTTTCATGTGATGTTTCAGCGTCTACTTTTCCTGTCTGCTCCAGAACGTAGAACTCATTTAATTAAACATCCTAGAAAAACTGGGAGCTGGTTTCAGCCAAATACTACACATATGCGACGTGACCTTTCATTCCTCCACTGTGTAAGGATGGATTAAAGTAAGGCCACCCTCCTGCCCCATCTCCCATCTTTGCTTATGGGGCCTACCAGCTGTCAGCAGCGGGAACAGTCCCCCAGAGGTCCAGCCCATCTTCTGTAAGAGTGCCTGTCTGAATAAAAAAACAGAATTGGTGTTAACCTTGAGGCTTTTATGTCATGATTTACATAAGACCCAAGCTTCTAAGAAATTACAGTCGATCCACCTGTCCAAATCCCTCAATTGTAAGAATCAAATTTTAAATCTGCTGACACATAATTCTCCAAAGACCAAGGTCATTAATCAGGTGATTCTAGTTATGACAAGAACATGCAAGTGCTTTATTTGGGTTTTGTTGATTGTCAAGCTCATTATTGTTATTAAAAGGGGAGACCCAATATGTGGAAATCCAACAAGAATCAACTCTGTTTAGTACCTGATAGCTCTCTTGAGCAGAGTTTAGATTTCATTTCATTTCTTTCATTACTTCACAATTTTCCATCGTACTTTTCTATAACTATGGATGCTATGGTAACTGTCCAGATTGCTAACAAAATGCTGATGAAAGGCCTTTGGGATTATGGAGAGAGACAAAGGCTAATAATAAATATCAATTAATGTCTATGAGTGGATTTTATTGTTAGATGCTTGGGAGAGTGGCTTTGCTGTGTTAAGGGAAAGTGTCAGTTAATGACCAGAGAAAGCAAAGTACTGGGTACTATCTATCACAGCATTGTTAATTTCCTCCTCATTGTTCAATTAGGAATTAAACAATTCATTCACTCATTGCAGATCCTAGCATCTTACTTCAGTAGGAGAAGCATTATGCCTTTCCAACACCTGGAGTAAGTGGTCACAGCTGCTTCAGCACTAAGGCAGAAAGGATATTCCCAACACTGTGAACAATCCTGCTTCAGCACTGACTGCCCTCCACCCAGGTCCCTGACATGGATTTTCATCATAGGTCATCTCTGTATATGACCTTGAAATTTCTAGTTTCCTATCAAGTAACAACCTTTATCATTACAGCACACCATAATAGAATACTATTTTATGGTGCAATGTTTACTGTGTTTTCCCTTCTTATAACTGAGCAGAGAGAGTAGAAACAGGGAGAAATGAGATGACCAGTCCAAGTGGACAGTGGCCTGTGGGTTGGAGAGGCAGAAGCTTTCACCAAGTATATTAAGTAAATCCTGCAAGGCAAAGACTATTCTGAATGAAAGAATTAAGGAAACTGCCTTCTGAATTAAAGAACTAAGGAACCCATTTCATTAATTCATTTCAACATTACAAAAAAGTGCTAATATACCTGTGTGTTATTCTCTGAACAACTGTTTTTTAGAAAGCTATCAGCTTCATTTCCTTCCTGTATTCTATAAGCGCCCCAACCTGCACATTTATCTTCCAAATCCCCATGGGTTGTTCTATTTCAAAAAGAGTTACCAACTTAATTCTTACTGAAGTGTTTTCCTGATGATGAGATTACATTTTAAAGCATCAATATTTTGAACATGAAAAGAGAGATAATACTACAGCAGAACAGAGATGAGATTATGCTATTTTTCTATGTGTGAAAATGACCCTTATACAATCAAACTAACCATAAATAGAAAGAAAACTAAATTATCGTTGTAGTTCTAAAGAAAATAAGATAGAAAAAGAAAACCTCTTAGCATAAATACAAGCCCAGACTTGGGATGAACTGAGTAAATAGAGAGAATTTATCTTTTAGAATTTCTAAAAAAATCAATTAAAAATAGAAATATATGTGGAAAATATACTGGGAAGCCTTGTGATAGATCGCTTCTAAATTAAAATAATACTAGAGGAGAATTTAAGTAATTGTGGAGCACTTTTATCACATCACTTTGACTGAATTTTAGAATGTGAAGCCTGTTCTCTGCCATATCTCTCTTCCAACCTTTCTTACTAATTCCCTCCAATAAAATAACAACACTTGGAAAAATGTCACTAGGGGCCAGGTTTGTGTGTAAAGCATCAATGTGATCCCTTTGGAGGCTGGTACTGGAAGATGGAGAGTTTCAGCCCAGTCCAACTACACAGTGAGTTCAAGGCTAGTCTGGCCTTTATAGTAAGTTTAAAACTAAACCGGGGAGGGGGTAACAATGCTGGATAGGAAATGGACTCATTACCTTCTTCATGTAACTGTAACCCCTCTGTATAGTATCTTTACAATAATACATATATTAAAAAAAACTAAACTGGGTTACACGAAGGAAACTATCTTCAAGAAAAGTAGGGTAGGCAGTTACTAGCCACTAATCTTCTTTTTTAAAAAAATGGTAAGCACACCCATTCTTCTTCCTGAAAAGTCCTTAATTCTTCATTTGCCATTTTAGACTTCTGGTGGCATTCCAACCAAACAATCCACTTTCCAGCACACCTGGGATCATCTGTCCCCAAATGCCGCATACCTCTCACAGCTCTGGACCAAACATGGGCCACTTCCTCTGAGTCAGGGTGATCCTGACAATGGACACTGCAGCTCAGAGGCAACATTTCACCCACAGCAACTACCCAAGAGCTGTGTACACTCCCATTTTCCCTGCATCCTCAGCTAGACAAGGAGCCTCTCAATAGCTAGGAAGGTCCCGTTCCTGGAACTCTATCTACACTGGATCTTTATCAATTAGGGTTTACTTAAAAATAACCAAAACCTTCATCCATTAGTCAAGAACAAGAGAACTGAAGACTGGGAGGGACCAACCCAGACCAACTGTACTACAACCATTACATCAGGCCTGGTCATGCTGAGGGCAGGCTCTGAATGGCAAATGACTGGTACTCAAATTCCTCTAGATTCCCACAGAAGAATCATGTGAGGGGAGTCTCTGGACCTGCTTGAGAAGTGGCTCTTCCTACGAGCCACATACTCTCTCCTGTCATTTCTCTAGGCCCTTGGCTTAGAGTGAAAAGGAGAAGATACAAGTACTAGTCATTGTTTACTCCCTCCCTTTCCTTATAAGAAGCCGAAGAGGAGAGAAGAAATGCTCACTTAAGCTCTAGCCAAAGCACTTCTGGGACAACAAATGTTCCTTAATTTGTGCCTGAAAAGGACAATCCATCATAAAATGTATTAGAGCAAGAAATTGCTTTAAACCCAAATAAAGCATAGAAAATACTATAAGACAGAATTCCTGATGGGATAGTTGAATGTCACCTTTCAAGTCAACAAGGTAGCCATCCAGAATGCAATGTCAGACTAGCTCAACACATGTTCTCATCTGTTAATTACCATGCTAGACCAAACTCTCTCTCTGAGGTCCTTTCCAGATCTCCTATGCCTCAGAATTATCACTCATCAACTTGCAAAGTTCAGAACCTACTTTGTCAAAGCACACGAGGTTAATTTGCCCACACATGTTGATTCTCTGTGGAGAGATACAGAAGATTTTCTGTTTCTTCAGTCTCTTCTGGGCATACACAATGCCTATGGTCAGGGCAGCTGGGAGCACAGGAGGGACCGTCACCGTGAGGAGGATCAGGGCCATGGTTGCCGTATCTCTTGGAGGAATCTGGAGAGAAGAGGGACATGGAAACATACCGATCCAGCATCATAGCCTGGCACTTTCCTGACCACTGCCTCATGACACTATAGAAGGCCTAGAAGAGACCCGAGCTCAAACATGCCTGAATATTCTCCTGGCTCCCATAAGAAGATATTTGAAGCTGGTTTAAAAAAAAATCTTGCCTCCCACAGCCAATTGAAGGTCTCAAACACCTATTCCAAGGAGTCTTCCTGCCTCTTTCTGAATCCATTTCTCTCTCTATTCACCACTCTTCCATGTACGTTCTGAGCTTAAGACAGGAGGGATAGACTTAGGTGATAGTATTTCATTTAGCAGCTTAACTGATAGCGTCTAAAATCTCCCTCCCACACACCAGCCTGCCAACTCCTTAGTACAACGGCTAAAGGATGATGAGCTAAGCACTCATTCATCTTTGAATTCCTTCCATTTATCACTAGTTTCCAAGCCTGATCCCCACACAGGGTCTGGTGTAGAAGAGGCACTCAATACCCAGACTGAAAGAAATGAGAGCCAAGACTCTGCCAAGACCTCAGCATGTTATTAGCTATACGGAAGTCAATATTAAAGTTCGTTTGCTGCCACTGCAGCATTCAGCCAGCGACATGATTTAATTAGTCTTCACAATGACTGCTTGTTCCTACCATACACACAGAGTTTTGACCCTGACGATTTATCCTTGTCTAATACCGCACCAGAGGCAGCCAACAGGGCCAGAGGTTCTGAACCACAAGAGATGAAGTTGGGAACTCAGCTTGCCCCTTGGTATACATTAGACCCTGTGTTCTACCAAAGAAGCTGTCATTCCTTCACCATGCCAAGGTTCCAATTCTGCCCTTCTCCTCCTTGTTTCTACTCCCCAAAGGAAGCACACAGCCTCACATTCTGGCCCAGTAGCCTTGTCATTCTGCCTACTTCCTCCCAGGCTCTGTTTCATTCTTTACTAGTGACAAAATACACTTGCTTCCCTTGCCATCCCTTGTCCACAAGAGGGAAAGGAGGCTTATTTCGGATTAAAATGACTCTTCAGGGGCTCAGTTTTAGAAAGAGCATTGCCTAGAAATTCTTATGATTAGGTTTTTGTCTACCAATAATCTCTCTCTCTCTTTCTCTCTGTTCCTCTCTCTTTCTGTCTCCCTCTCTCCTCACTTGCCTTCAGTATAGACACTGTGATTAGGCCACACATGCCTGGGCTCATAACTAGACTTGGATGCTTTATTTACTATTTCCTCTTCTTTCTAACCAATGCACACTATTATGATCTCAGCAGGGCTGAGATAGAAACTATATGGTACAGAAGCAGACTTTCAGGACTAGAACAAACCTCAGAGGTCAGAGTAACAGCCCATCTCTCCACTGGCCACCCTACCAGTGAAGAGAGAGGCTTCATCCACATGAACCCAACACCCTCTAACATCAGGGTATGGTAGCAGTGCTGTAAAAGTAAGCATATATTTCATTTCAGATTCCAAATAGAAAGCATGAACAAGGTACAGATGGCATAATGTGTTGGGGATTACCTGGGACATTTTTAAGTACTTTAGGAAAGAATTCAGACCAGACTTGTTATTCACTATCCTCTTCAATCTGATCTCTTCTTATCTTGTTGGACTCCTCTATTAATTGCTGATGGGTTTTGAAGACCATTGTATGTTTCTTTGAGTCTCCCTCACTCAAATTAGAACACCTTTCCTATACTCTGATCTGATGGACTATGTCTTCCTCGACTTAACTAGACTTGAGAAAAACATATTTCCTCTAAGATTATATGAGCTTGTGTACCCTTCACTCCAAATCAAATGATGGAAACAGCCAATGAACTGTATGCACAAGTGCTCAATCCAAGATGATTGATTTGCCACTAACCCGTACAGCTGTTGAACTTAAATGAATTAAAATGAAATACAATTAAATGTTCATGTCTTAATAATGATGCATGGCTAAGTGCTACCATATTGGACAGTGTACAACTAGAATATTTTTACTTTCTAAGAAAGCTTTTAGACAGCCTTGATTAACAGAAAAAGTAAGATTAAGGGGCATTCTTACCTAACCCTCCTGAGTTAAGTCAAACTCTTGAGAAAGCTGCATAAAAAAAGCCTTACCACCATTACTTACTTCATGGTACATGTATATACCTAGGCCATAGAAAAAGGCCACAACACCGAGGCAAGCCAGGAACACCATGAACTTGAAGGCATCGCTGTATAGTTTGAAGTTCAGAGGCCGAGGATACAGGATGGATCTTACCAAGTCTCCTTTTGCTGTGTTATAACCTACATGAAGATGATCACAGACAAGTAAAATCTTTTAATCTAATTTTTCTCCAAGTCCAAAGTGGGTGGGCTATTGGAGTGTGGACTGAATGAAATAGAATTGTTCTGACCTATTATATTTGCCTTCTCTGTTGTAAGTTTTTGGGAACAATCAACATCCCTCACTCTGTTTAGTTCTTCTTGTTCCTTGGGTCAGTGCCTTGTGGGCAATATCTCATCCACCCATGGGCTGAGAAAAATTAGACTAGGAAGTTGAAGAAACGAGATACCAAGAGAAGAAGAATATAAAGCAGATATATCTTGAAAACAGAAAGATAAGAATAATTGCAAATTAAGAAAAAAGCATTTTGCAGGGTAAGTTCTTAAGTGTGTGTGTGTGTGTGTGTGTGTGTGTGTGTGTGTGTGTGTGTGTGTGTAAGGCTTCTGTATATGTTTTGTGCTCCAAAATCTTTCCCATTTTCTTAGAAGTTCAGACTTCCAAGTACAATATTCAAGGATCTTTTTTTATCTAATCTACTTCTTCCTTACTGGACTGATCTCATAACTATTCACTGGTTCCCATAGATGCTTGTACTTCCTTCTTTTGTATTTTGTAAACACAATTAGCCTATTCTTCCAGCTTAAAAAAAAAGTTTTGTGAAACTATTGTACAGAGGGGTTACAGTTATATGAACAAGGTAATGAGTACATTTCTTATCAAGCACTGTTGCCTCCCCCTTTGTTTTTCTCCTACCATCTCTTCCCTCCCACCTCCTCAACTACACTCCCTCCCACCTTCCACCTAAATTGTAAAGTTTGTTTTTCAACATAGCATCTTGTACATCTCATTGTTGCAATAGGTCAACCTGTATCCCCTCCTCAAATTATACCAACATCAAATACAGTGAAAACAGGGGTTATACTGTGGGGGAGGGACATACAAAGCAACAAAAAAAATCACATGGTACCTTATAAATATGTCAGAACATTATAAGGGAATACTTCTCAAACCTTTATGCTAATAAATTTGAGAATCTGGAAGAAATGGACAATTTCCTAGCAAATATCGACATGCCAAAACTAAACCAAAATGAGTTACACCAACTTAACAGACCCATATCAAGCATTGAAATAGAAACAACAATAAGAGACCTCCCATCTAAGAAAAGCCCAGAACCAGATGGATTTACAGCAGAATTCTACAAGGCCTTCAAAGCAGAACTCACACCCATACTCCTCCAACTCTTCTATGAAATTGAAAGAGAAAGCTTACTACTGAACTCTTTCTATGAAGCCATTCATAACTCTCATCCCAAAACCAGGCAGAGACTCATCAAAGAAGAGAACTATAGATCCATTTCTTTGATGAACATTGATGCAAAACTTCTCAACAAAATTTTTGGTCAATCAACTTCAGCAATTCATCCAAACAATCATATACCACAATCAAACAGGATTCATTTCAGGGATGCAAAGCTGGTTCAATATATTCAAATCAATTAGTATAATTCACCACATCAACAAGAGCAAGGAAAAGAACCACACGGTTATTTCAATAGATGCAGAAAAAGCATTTGACAAGATCCAACACCCCTTTGTGATGAAGGCTCTGGAAAAATTAGGAATCCATAGAACATTACTCAATATAATAAAGGCTATATATGACAAACCTTCAGTCAGCATTATACTTAATGGTGAAAAACTAGAGCCATTTCCTCTAAAGTCAGGCATGAGACAAGGATGCCCACTCTCTCCACTTCTCTTCATTTTAATATTCGAATGCCTAGCTATAGCAATAAGACAAGATACAAATAGGGATCCAAATAGGGAAAGATGAAGAAAATTCTTCCAGCTTTATGTCTTTCAGTAAACCCTTGCCATCCCATCAAGCTTGGTTTAACATGCCACATCACCAAATAAGTGTTTCCAGGATATTACTTCCATACTTCTTATCCAAAACAATTATTTCATTACTTGGAATCCATGTAACACTTGGTAATATGACATCTATCATCACCCATGTTTTACTTAGCTATAAGTCCATCTGTCTCCAGAAACAAAGTATAATCTCTTTAGCATATATTACACATTATTTATTAAGCCCTCAGTTCATACCACCTAGTAAATACCTGAATTATTGGCTGCAATGATTGAGCACTAAATACTCTAGGTATGAGTCAGAATTGTAAGCATAAAGTTCATTTTATTCCTACTATGTGAAGGACACTTGGTCTTCTTAAACATGACCTTTTGTCTTTGCAGAATAAGATAATAGCTTGAGAGTCTAAAATCTACCAACTGGTTTTAATGCAAAACCAAAAAGGGTTATGTTTTTAATGAAAAAAATCTGTTAGGACAATTGAATAACAGGCCAAGATAAAACATGGTGACATAGAAGGGCACATTGTGTTTTAAGTCTGTGACTATGTGAAATAGCAGGAACAAGTCAGGAATAAGAACACCAGGTTGGGACCAAGCCATAGAAATCCTTCGTAGTGAAATGCTATATAAAAGACTAAACAATTGCTGCTATCTATGGAAAGGGTTTGGGTATAGTAGGTGTGAGCTATTCCAAGCTAGGTTTTGAAAGTGTGACTTTGGTGACAGGTTGAGGAACAGTTTAGAAAATGGTTAGGACAAATGTTGAAATTGTCCAAAAAACAATGTTTTGTTGTAATATTCAAGACATGAAATGATGAAAGCCTATACAAATTAGGAACCACTGAGAGGAAGTGCAGGGACCAGGACTAAAAAGGTACCACTAGAAGGCATCAATCAAATGCTGCACACAGCCAATGAACCATGTGTGCTTATTTGGTCTGAGATAAAGTGAGGAGTTAAAGATGCTATTAAGAGTCTAGACAGTTATACTGTGAACAGAGGCAAGACAGGAGGGTGAGTTTCCATTTAGATAAATGACTTTTGTGTCTACATAGCAACCTGGAGGTGTTATACAGCTGGGAGTTTGATACTCAGTCTACCATGCAAGCTTTTGAAAGGGAAAGGTCCTCGATCAGTTTGGTTGACTTTTTTTAAAATCATTCAAAGCAAACACGGAGGCAATCATGACTCAAAGCAAGCATCAAGCAATACATCAAAGCAATACAACAAGCCTATGGACACAAGCCAAGCTATGCGCCTAGTTTTGTCTTTCAGAACATTTCTATCATCTGTACCTAGCATTCATCTCATCACATCCAAGATCTAAACTAATAAACTATTCAGGTCAAATGGTGGAAACTTGGAATAAAAAGGTCTGGTTAGAAAAGAGTATGGCTGGTTAGAAAAGAGAAGGTGGCAAGTTGTAAACTCCTAAACAAAATTTCCCTAATCCACTTCTGCTTGCCACTAAACATGACTTCAGTTTACAAAAATAGAACCCACTAACCTGTCTGTAGTACAACAGCTCTGACTGGGCCCTGACCAGAGGGCCTGACCTGAATCACCTCTGTTCCACAGAAAAGCACGTGTTTCCGGTAGTCCTCCAGACTGTGCGATTTCCAAGGCATGGTGTTGTCCGTGTGGGACAATGGTGTCTTTGTCACAGGTATACTTTCTCCTAAAGAAGATTGCATTTGTTTCTGTTGATTCTGGGTAAACTCCGAGAGTTATTTGCAATTCTTACTTACCATTTTTAAGAAATTATACAACATTCTGAATGTCTATCCCCTGAGTCAGATGATGGTTAAGGATGCTGGTAATGCAAGCATAGGTAGACTCTTTTCTATTTCAAATATTTGTCTTAGATCTGTTTATCTTTGCTATCCTTAACCTGAATGGCGTGGAGTCATTTAAAGATGTCAGCTCCCAAGCATTGAGTGAGCCTACTATATTACAGACAGTAAAAGATCTGGGAATAACATGACTACTCATTGTTATTTGCCTTGCATTCACCTCCTTATACATTCATCCATTCCAAGTGTTCATTCTGTACTAGGAATTATATTGGGTGATGAGAGCATGATAAACAAACAAAACACACAGAAACCCTGTCCTCATATAGACAAGAAATCCTGGCTAGAAAATAGGAGGTGAATTACTAGGTGAATCCTGTCCATTCTCCCCTTCATTATTCTATTCTTTTGCTGAAAATTCTTAGGCTTTTCCCTTTTTCACCATTATTAAATAAATCCCCAACTCTTTTCATTATTTTTTAAGTAAGTACTTGTACAAAGGGGTTTTCAATTCTACAAGTCAGGTTATAAGTACAATGCATTTTGTTCAATGACTCTTGGTCCATCATTTCCCCTCATCTTTCCCCCATCCCGTACTATACTTGAGCCCAAACTCTTTTTAGATAGTCAATTCCAGTAAACCAGGGCTCCTGTACTTCCCTTTACTGACTCCTTTCCTGCTACTATCAGTTCTCTTCCTTTCCCTGATGTCTGTAAGACAGAATATGCAAGGTACAAAGAAAATTGGCTAAGTGTACAGAAAAGATAAATTTCACAGACAAAATAAAAATGTTAATAACACTTCCTGGCTCACAGATTTAAAAAGCACTTGAATGAATTTAAAATTCCATCACTTTCCTACAAAATGTTCAATTAGAGAGATATTTTTATCACCTTTCTAATTCTGAAATTATACTATGTTGATAATGGTTATAGATTTATAGAGTTATATTTCTAGATAATAACTGATGACAGGGACTTTGACATATGTAACTTTTCATACTTATCATTTTCCTTAGTGGTATAGAGTAGGTATAAAATACATATTTTTGCATAACTGCACAGATGAATTAAATAAAAGCAATTACTAAGGTCTTTCTACTATTGTTTTTTCAACACTAGTTTCCTACCATAGTATATTTTTCACAATATAAGGTGCAAGAAGCTATAAAATTTTTATTAGTATTTTTGAATATTGCTCAGGAAATTCCTTTTAGCCAAGCATTATCTCTGTACCATTTTCTCTAAAACAGTTATGATACTCACTTGTATGGGCTTACCAACTAAATTTTAAATGACTTTGTAAAACAGGGGTAGAACCTTTTGACAAATCTCTGAATCATCATACCACGTTGCTTTAGGAATTAGGTAGATACAGAAAACTTATTCTACCTTTGTATCAAAGATATTAGTTTACAGTCTACACTTTGGCTAGTACGATATAAATGAACATTTCTGCACACAGGCAATGAAAAATGGCAATAGACAGATGTTGATTAATCACAAATGAAAATCATCTGGAGATTATGTCCCAAAGACCACAGTCAAATTAAATGTTGTTACACAGAGATAGTTTTCAAGTATTTTTATTACTGTTTACAGAAGAAATCTCATGCTTCAGGCCTACTTGGGAGCCCCCCAAAGGAAGGATTTACCTATAGAAGACTGGGGTTTAAGAAGGTAAGGCTGTTTTGGAGGAAAGTACTGTCATCACTCACTGTCAACTGTGGAGCTGGCTTTTGGGACCAAAAGACCCTTGCTGCTGTCAGATGGAGAATCTCTCTCTTGTCCCCAAGGAGCTAGCTGCATCTTCATGGTGACAGTATTTGAAATGTCCTGTTCTCTTTATTTACATTTCTTCTTCAAGAAAAAGAAGGCAGAAAGGGAGTAGAAGCTCTGACTTATCTGCTGATTATAAGCTTGTCTGACTGCGTATGAATGTGGAAAATTTGACAAGGGGAATTTTTATATTCCAGCTCAGCTGGCTATATATTTCCTGCACAGAAAATTTGTAGTTTAATGAGAAGAGGGAGGGGGAGGAGAATTGTGGCAGTCTGAAAGCCAACTCTCTCCTCCAGAATTATCCCTAAGAGAATGAGGAGGCAGTGGTCATAAGGCTATTCTCTGGGTACAAAATGTTCAGGTCTTAATATTTTGTTTTTCTAAATGAAATGTAATTCTTGAGAGGTGTGGTGGCTCAGGTTTGTAAATGTAGCACTCAGGAGGCTTAAACAGGAGAATCATATTCCAGACCAGCCTGGACTTTATAGTGAGACCCTATCTCAAAAATAAAACAAAACACCCACATAATTGTTGGAAATCTCTGCCACTTGTGTATTGTCATTTTCTCTTCTTTCCACTAAATGTTAGCTCCACATGGGCAGAAAATCTCTTCTGCCTCCTCAGGACAGTAACTCTAGTAGATTGTATCTTAATAAACATTTGTGAGGTGAGTGAATGAACATATTAACAAAGTGAATCCAGATCTCAAATGCATTGCTTTTTTATGTGGCCAAAAGCAAATTATTCATCAACTCTGGGTTGGGATTCACTAACTTTAAAAAAGTTGCAGATTGAATGAGATAACACTTAAAAAATATTAGTACAAAGTCTCATACATATGAAGAAATAAGAAAAGTTAGCTATTGCTCTAAGAGAAAAATAATTTAAATATGTTTTATTGGTATTGTAGAGGTGATGTACAGAGGAGTTATAGTTACATATGTCATGTAATATGTACATTTCTTTTTGAACCATACCATCCCTTCCCTAGCTCTCATTTTCTCCAAGGGAAAACTTTGAAATATCATTACATTCTCCTTCCATGAGGATGTAAAATCTGAGGGCAGGTGGCAGTCAGGTTGACTCTCTTTCCAGGGAGACAGGCTCACACAGCTTTACAGCTTCAGAGTAGAGCAGAAACAGCAGGAAGAAGAGCTACACTACAGCATAAGCCCCTCCTCAATGTCCCATTCCTAGGGAAGCCACAAAAGCATTGAGGAGCTGTTAACTGATGGGAATAACAGAATACTCCAAGGATGGCATAGTGAATACTTGCAAAGGTGCTACAAATAAAGCCAGGTGCTCGTGGCTCACACCTATAATCCTAGCTACTCAGGAGATTGAGATCTGAAGATCATGGTCTGAACCCAGCCTGGGGAGGACCATTTGTGAGACTCTTTATCTCCAAATTAATCACCAAAAAAACACCAGAATTGAGCTGTGGCTCCTGAGCTTTTGACATAACTGAATTTCAGCGATAGGGTTGGGCAGAGGAGATGGGAAGGAGGAAGTCCTACATTGGTGGGTACTGTGAGTAGGGATACTAGGTAGAGAGTAAAGGGGAAGGGAGGGAGGGGAAAGGCAGCAGCCTTAGAATCATCTTCCTCTCCTATTAGATCCTTTGTGTTTGTGGGCCCATGACACTTTCTAGTCTCACTTTTCCTTTGCTCACGAAGCAACCTGGTCTCTCTTCACCCCAGTTCTTTTATTTGTACATTGGTGTTTTAATAACAGTTCATCTAATTTGTTTCATGTCATAAGTGAACTTATACATGACTTATAAAACAGAACTTTCTATAGAAATGCTAGTAATTTCTATACTTACTGCTACATAAAAATTTACTATATAGGCAAATGCTTATCTATGTATACCCCCGACACACACATATATACACCGGAGTCATATTTGTGAACAAACACCAAGGATTACCTTTTTGTTTTTTTGTTTTGGGGGGGGTCCGGTCATAGGGCCTGAACTCTGGGCCTGGGCGCTGTCCCTCAGCTCTTCAGCTCAAGGCTAGCACTCTACCACTTGAGCCACAGCGCCACTTCCAGCTTTTTTTTCTGCTTATGTGGTGCTGAGGAATCGATACCAGGGCCTCAAGCATGCAAGGCAAGCGCTCTACCACTGAGCCACCTTCCCAGCCCCAGGACTACCTTTTTGGTTCCAGGAAGTTAACTCTAATCTTCTGAATTGTTCACAGTCCTTTTCTTAAATATAGAGGAAGACCTTGCTGTGCGCTGAGCATGCTGGAACTTGAACCATTTTGAGGAAACTAATTTACATCTCTGTCTGCAAAATTGGCTTTCATTTTGCAGTACTTAGGCTTCATACATGCTAGTGCTGGTGACAGTTTCCAGAAGTGGACTTTAGGAAAAGCCACTTATCAGTAATGGTCATGGAGGTTAATTTTGAACATTTTGTTGCATGGCAGCATGCTTCAGCATTTATAATTTTCTGGAACTCTTTAAGTTCCCTTAAACCAAGGCAAGTTCTGTAGCCCCAGTCTGTGAGAAGAGCAAGAGAAGACTTAAGGTAGGGACCTTTCTGCCTGGCCTGCCTGTGATTCCACTGTTCCGCACTGACAATCTGCTGGGAGATGAGAGGCACTGCAGCACTTGAGTGAAGACAGTGCTCCATGAGCCTGATGTTTGTCTGTTGGTTGCTATAGCAACATGCTGGATAAAAGATATGATCAGTATGCAAATCCTCATTGCAATCATTATAAGGAAGTTAGATTCTAGTGCATTAAAGAGGTATTTTGTAATTATACCGAACATATTTATGTTTACTACATTTTCCAGTCTCATTTTTAAATTAAGAGACCTATTTTTAATGTGAATTCTGCATCTGCCAAACAACTTAGAAGCAGATAATAAATGTCCATTATATGGAAGTTTTTTGTGTGCTTCCCTCCTCCTCCCAGCCCCAAGTTTATACCACTTGGAAACAGAAAAAACTTAATGGCCTGTAAGCAGATAAATAGTTTTGATTTTTGTGTTGCTACATAATCTCCTTTATATGCTGCATTTTGTGGTTTTTATAAGCTAAAGGATATTTTATAAATAGTACCTGCCCGTTAGATAGATACAAGTAGACTTTTAAAAACTACAAATGAGAAGTAGGACCACTTGAGCTGAAACTGGAAGCCCCATTTCCTTCCCAGTGAGATCAATAGATGTGCAAATCTAAACCAGACAGAACTCTGATTCTGTCTTTGTTCCTAAGAGTTAGGAACCAAGGCCTGAGTAGTTTTTCATCCATTGGGTATGGGGCTAGATGACATCTCCACATTCTTCTGACTGTGAAGATTGGTAGTTTTTAGGTTGTGTTTTGTTTTTGTATGGATATAAGCCACCCTCTAACATGTTCAAACTTCTTTCATTAATCACATAGGAGAGTAAGGAGTTCTTCCAGTTCTGTATTTATTGTGGTTTAATTCTTCTTATTATGCATCGCCTGCTTATATATATTATGTCTCTATTTGAATGAAAAGTCTGGATTCATTTCCCTCATCTGTCCTTGGATATCTGAGCATGGGGCCTGGTGAAAGGTTGAAAAATATATGTTGATCTCACCTCATAACAATTGACTTCATGTTAGGCAGGAAGGAGGAAGCTCAATGATAACTGCCTACCTGTGAGCATGCCTTCATTCATTACACAGCTCCCATCAATAAGAATAGCATCACATGGCATTTGAAACTTCCCTGGAAGAATAAGAATATCTCCAGGAACCAAGAGACGAGATTCCAGTTCCTGCAAACCTACGAACAATGAAATTTCAATGACTCACTGACATTTACTGAAGAATTCAGAAGACTAAGAACTCTCATCAACCTGTTGGCCAGAAAGTTGTCTACCTGTTTGCCTGCTCCAGCCCTAGCCCACTCACCTGAAAATCCCAAGAGAATCGGGATTAAAGAGCTGATGCATCAGATATAGCAGAGGAATAACCAGCCACAAAATCTTAGTTTGATCCTAGTACCTGGTCAGTGCCTTTGAGGGCCTTGGTCAATACAGAAGTGTCAGTTAGGTGTTGCTTGCTCTTAATCTGTGTTCCTAACATGCTATGGCATAATATGTCTCTTAAATTTTCCAGAGAGTTTCTGTTGACTTGGAGGGGGCACTGTTGTTGCTGTTGTTGTTGTTGTTTTCATTGAATTGTCTATTTTATTGTTAGATAGACAGACAGACAGACAGACAGACAGACAGACAGACAGACAGACAGACAGACAGATAGATAGATAGATAGATAGATAGATAGATAGATAGATAGATAGATAGATAGATAGTAAGGGTGATGTACAGAGGGGTTACATAAGTACGTAACTCATACGTAAGCATGAGTTAAGTCAAGTAATGAATACATTTCTTTTTGAACAGTGTCACTCCTTCACTCACTCCCAGTTTGTCCCTCCCATTCCCACCCACAAGTTGTATAGCTCATTTTCAACATGATGGCTAGTGAGTATTACTGCTGAATTTGTACACTCTCTATCCCATCCTTTCTGTCCCCCTTACTTACCCAGAAACAGATAAGATAAACTTACAAACAAGAAAAAAGGTGCAGACAACAAAAACAGCAACAAAGGGAAAAAATCTCTTGTTTCCATTTCAAAAAATGTTATTTTATCTGACCATAGGCACGTAGCTATTGAGCCTTTGTGATCTGCTTACCCGAAGTCAGACATGGTAGTGCATGTCTGTAATCCCACAGGGCAAAGGCAGAAGGATTGAGGCCAGCCCAGAAAAGGTTATGGAGACGCTATCTCAAACACAAAACTAAAGGTCTGGAGTATGACTTAAGTGTTTAGAGTGCTTGCCTAGCAATCACAAAGTCCTTCGTTTTTTCCCCAGTACTCTCTCCCTTCAAAGGAAAAAGCTTACCCAATAATAGTCTTATGAATGAAATAAATGAAATATGGATGGTAGAGAACATTTTCAGTAATCCAGACATTGGGCTGGGATGAAGGCCAGGCAAGCATGAGGCCTGGGGTATGAAGTGAAACAAGGTAGTCACTAGCAGGGCCCTATTGCTATAAGGTTAGTATCAGAATGTTATTGCCTCAGATTTTATGACTTGTTTGTCTCACCCTAGTCCCAGTACTATGCTCAATCAGAAAATCTTCAGTCAGCCAGTGCTGGCTCATTTCTATATTCTATATATATTCTATATATATATATTTCTATATTCTAGCTACTCAGGAGGCTGAGATTTGAGAGTCATCATTCAAAGCCAGGTTGAGCAGATAAAACCTCCAGACATTTTATCTCCCATTAGCCAGCAAAAATCCAGAACTGGAGGCAAGGCTCAAAGCGGTAGCATACCAACTGTGATCGAAAAGCAAATAAGAACACAAGGCCCTGAATACAAGCTTTCGTACCAAACAAACAAACAACAATAACAAAAAGACTAACTCTCCTTAATTAATACCTTGGGAGAAATGAGACAGTAGTATGCTGAAGGCAAAAGACATCACTTACCTTTGTCTTTTACAAAGATCGTAACCTGGACTTTGTTGTGATCCTCCACGAGGTTGTGCAGCTTCACTGATTGCTACCAATGGAAAGTCAGAGACATCGGAAAGTCCATGTCTTGAGAACCATACGATCTAACGCTTCCCAAGCCCACTTGTGAGAAAGCCAGCCACCTGACCCTCCACATACAGAAGCAATCACATTCATTAGTTGAACACTATTTTACTCCTAGGAAAATAATGCACAGACTCTGCCTCAGGACCTAAGCCAAGGGCCCAAGGTTTCACTGGCTGAGGCTGCACGTGTGTGGGCTGGGAAAAAATAGCAATGCACAGATTATGACTTTCCTCCTGTTTCCCAGCCTGGAAGCCACAAAGCTACATTGAATCTGTAAGTGCCTCCCACTTGTAGGAGCTGACAGAGGTTTATGCTGAGCCACCCCCTGTGAAGAGCTATGCATGTCCATGCTGGCAGAGTTGCAGAAGGAAATGTTGCTGCCAGGTCTTGAATCCCAGTGCTGCCATTTATGACTTAACCTGTTTAAAGCCCTTTGGGCTCCTGTGAAAAGGGTGATGATAAAGTGTATCTACTTTATAGAAGTTAAATCATGTAGCACTATGTATTATTCACTGTATAAGTATACACTGGGAAAGACCATATGACAGACATCAGCTGGCAAAACTTGCTGGGTACGGAATTGACTGATATGTGCTTTTGTAAAACAGAAAAGACAACGGGACCAAGAAAGAGATGGAACACTGTCTCCTATGAGAATCCAGAGACAGGAAGGAGTTGTTAAGAGATTTCATGTACACACTTCTGCCAACTGTCACCCTGAGTCAATGTGACCCTGGGTCAGCCAGGGCAGGGCAGTGGCTTAGGAAGACACTGGATGTCAGTGACTTGGATGCTACTAAAAAGAAGTTTTAAAGATTGCCAACAGTACTCTCCTACAGCTGAACCTAACCATAATGTGTTTTCCTTTCAGGTACTAAGTCATTTTGCTCTATTCTGATGTTGATTCTTACAAATGTCATCATGGAGTTAAGATTGGCTTTGCTTACATTTATTCAACATTCCCTAAGAGATTCAGTGTTAATATTTATAGGAAATTTTTTAATTATTTACTTCAGTTCTGCATGAAAAGCTAAAACTTAGACTAACTTGGATCAGTTCAGTGGAAAAAGTTATATTACTGTTGGTTAACAATGAATATAATGAATATGTATTCATGAATACACATTCGATGTTCTAAGGTGGCTTCCTAAGGTTTGTCTGGGATGTGTATGTAAATGAGGGGTTACAGAGAGCAAGCCAGCTGAAAATCTGTGTTGAAAACAGTAGTGTCAGTTAGGACTCCTGAACTGTAAGTCTGGCTTACCTGCTGGCCAGCCATGTGCAGTATATGGAACTTTTCACCTTATATAAGTTGGTCATTCCTTTTGTAAACCAATAACATTAAATTGGATTAATTTCAAGTTACTTTCAAGCTCCAAAATGATTTGATAATGATTTATTTTATGTCAGAGATTGATCTAAAACCCTTAAGGCTTCATAAAAAAATACAAAAGGTATAGAATTGACTTAAATTATTTTTATGATAATTTTAAATGTCGAATAGCTCCTATGTGCTGAAAACTATTGTCAGCACTATTATTTAATTTTTAAAACTTTGGAAATAATTTTAGAATGGCAGTGATATCAAAGCAAAACCAGAGAAACTGGGGGTTGGGAATGTCAAAGTAACTTGCCCACAATCATGCACTTTTTAAGAATTGAGACTGATAAAATCAGGCTCATCTGACCCTCAACCATTTTCTGTTGATGCTCCCACTGCTTGAAAATAGGTTTTCCCTCCCTTAAGAAGATAAATACCCTTCCTTCTACATTTCTTCAAGTTATTTTCTTGTTCAGTAACTCTTTCAATCAATGCCAGCGTAACTTCAGCCTCGCTTAAGCGGATGATAATCAACATATTTGGAAGTGGTGAAGGATGAGTTAATAGTCCTTGACTGTAATTCTCAAGCCTCATTATGCTGTAAAGCTGGATTTGTTTATCAGACTTAGCATTCTGCATGGCCTGCTATGTTATTGCGAGGACTATTCCCTAGAATATTCAGCCCAGCTTTCTACTAGCAGACTCTTTCTCATCCTTCTCATAAAGCCCTGCTTTAATGTCATCTCTATCCCCTAAGTTCCCTCAACCCCAAGAATAATGCATGGTTCTGCTCCCTATGCTTCTGTACTGATAAATTACAGGAGAACTGCCTGTTGTCAAGAATCCCCTGCAAGGCTGGCAGGACACAGGAGAAAGAGATTGATCATGTGGTCACCTATGTAGCCTTAGAGTCTATCACGTAGACGGCTCTCTGCGCATATGTATTTAATAGAACTGAATGCTTTTACTTCGCCCAACTACACTGGAGTAGGATAATGTTAGCATCCTCAGAGCTGATGTACTCAGAAACTCTATTGCATTGGTTTCTATGACAACCAGCCAGCTAGGAAAAGGCAAGTGTTGTGAGGCTTGCTATGATTGCAAAGTTCGTTGCCTGATTTTCATTAGGCCCCCTCTGGTTTCTCTAGTCCCTCTTCAGTGGGATCAGGATCAGTTTCCAAGATTAATTTGCATATTGTTATTATTCGGCATCTGTTGCTGAGTGGCTTTGTGTTTGCTGTGGATGGATGTCCTCCAGAGATGAGTAGGGAGGGCATTTCACTTGTGACTGAAGACAAAGCCCTGGGGGCCAGAAACTCTCATTATCTGTGATCGTTTTAGTACCCCACCTTTTCCCGACACCTCACTCTCAGAAATAGAGTGAAACTTTTGAGCTAAGGGACTGCAGCTGGAGTTTCTTGACTTAGGTAAGGTAGGTAGGTTCTATGCAGCATGATTTGGGCCTAGAGTAGCATGTGCAGGAAGATACCTCCTTGCAGTTCTGCAAACATCCTAACAGCTCTTCATATCATAATTTTCAAAAGCTTGTGTTTGGGCTAGGAATGTGGCTTAGTGGTAGAATGCTTGTCTAACATGCATGAATCCCTGGGTTCAATTTCTCAGTACCACATAAACAGAAAAAGCCAGAAGTAGTGCTGTGGCTCAAGTGCTAGCCTTGAGCAAAAGAAGCTCAGGGACAATGCCCAGTCCCTGAGTCCAAGCTGCAGGACTGGAAAAAAGAAAGAGCTTGTGTTTATTTAGCTAAGTCTAATTCAGTGAAATGATGGAATTTAGTATAGTTCAATACACTGATTTGGAGATGGCAATGAAGGCTCCTTCCTGCATTTCTGCCAACCTCCTCTCTGCAGATAGATATTACTGTCACAATGAAGTCCGTGGGATGGCTTGAGAATGTGCTCCATGGGAACGGGTAGTACTTTGGTTTGGAGTTAGGAATCCTGAGGCTGAAGGCCACAGCTCCTGGTAATTGGGTAGATCTGAAGAAGACCTTTACTTTCCTTTGCCTCCCAAGGTAGGAGAACAGAACAATGACATGGCTCTCAGTTTATGACTTGTTACATAGGCAGATGTATTATGCATGTGAGGTCTGTTGCAAAGTATGAAGTGCTGAAAAAAAAATACTGATTCTTGAGGGCTTTCGACTTAAACTGTAAAGATAAAGTTTCAGGAAACAAGCTCATTTTGTATGGCTTTACCAGACGTCTTACATGTTGAGTCATGAAGCTTTCAAAACAAATTCCACCTGCTAATGAGATTAGTGTTTGTCTACTAATTCCTTTTCTTCTTTTGAAAGAAATCCTTTGCAGCCTTGTCAACAAACCTGAGGTTCTCATGTTACTTGCTCACTAATTTTGGCAAACAATTTATGGATTCTAGTAAGACATAGAATCTTAGTGTTTAAAGCTCATTAAGGATTATAAATTAAATACTCAGTAAATCATAAATTGGATAAAACAGGCTCCATGCAAAACAGGCAAGCCCAAATCCATAAAGGAATCACATTTCACTTGACATAATTTTTATTGTATGGCAAAAGTCAAAAATCAAAGGGAAAATAGTAGACTAAAAATAAAAATGTCCACATGTATGGCAGATATAAAGAACCTATCAATACAAAAGATAAATGTAAAAACTGAAAATGTGTCTACTTTCATTAGCAATCAAGGAAGTGGATATTGAAACAGCTGTTTTGAAAAACTTATTAAAATTCAAAAAATGTATCAGTACATAGACTCATTGCTATTAAGAATCTGGGAAAATTGATAGACTGTGTGCTGCTGATAGAATTATTTCCTTTGGAAGAAATTTTTTAGCAGTGTCTATTAAAATTCAAATTGTACCTGTTCTTTGATCTAGCAGTCTGGATTTTGGATGTCATGTTAAAAGTACAAACATTAATGCATAAGCAGATGGCTACGCCATAGTTATGTTTAATTTCGCATTATTTGCATTGGCAAAAACTGGGGGAAAGTAATCTTATTTTTCTATAAATGAGGGAATGCTTAAATAGACTATGATATATGCTTGAATTTTATACCATTATTTTTCATATGATTTAGACTTATTCGCTTACCTGTTACATACACACACACACACACACACACACATATATGTATGTATGCATCTAGCAGGTATAGTAAAGTATACATTTTAATGTACACAGTAAGATCCTATTTAAATTAAAAATAAGTGTTCAAAAAGTCTTGCATAATATTTGCATCTAAAAGAGTAATAAAAAGAAGCACAAAAGTATGTTTAGGTAATAATAGCATTAATAAATAAATATGTGTATCTAGGATGTTGATATTTGACTATTATTCTCTATAACAATGTTTCATACTATTATAGAATACCCAGCAGTCACGATTATGAAACTATACAAAAAATGCAGATTCTTGTTGTTACCCTGAATATTTTCACTTAATAGGTCAAAGTACAGACTTTTCAAATAATTCTCTTGTTGTACTACTGCCCTATAAAGTCAAAGCTTTCTATAGCCCTTCCCTTCACTTCCACTCAGAGATATCTGTATTTCTTTTGAGTTTTCTTAAGGAAAGGCATACTTGGGTCTGGAGAGGTAGTTCAGTGGTAGAAAGTTTGCCTAGTATGCACAAGGTCCTGAGTTTAATTTTTTTTAAGTACACCTGTATTCCAAATGAAGAAAGAGATATCATAAATGAATCTTAAGAGAAAGATTGAAGTTTGTCAGGAACATTAAGATGAAGTATATGTAGAATGAATGAAGTACATAAGTCAGGGGAAATACATCATGGGATCTTGTATCTTTATGGACATGCATAGTTGACTCCCGCTCCTCTCTCTTCAAAAGTATGACTGACACTATGCATCCTTCTCCAACACTCACCCTTTCCCAAGATTCATAGACACAGCCTTAAGGGTACTTCTGAAACTAAATTCAAAGAAGCTTTCAGCTAACATTAGAGTTTTCAAAGAGGTTTAAGTCTATCTGACATTTCTATGATCTCTAAAGAGCTCACATTTGCTTTCTTATGACTTAAGTTTGGCAAAGCAACTTGCTCTCAGTGGAAATTTTATAGGATTTCAGGTCTTACCTGTCGCAAATCATACACACTTAAAACAATGGAGATAAAGGTCAAAATGATGATGGCCACGGAGTATTCTATATAGCCCTGAGACAACCACAAAGTCAAGGTGAAGGCTTGGAACACGTAGAATGGATTTAAAACCTGTAGGTGCAAAAAATAAGATGAGTCACATATACAGACTTTGGTAACAATGAAGATGATATTGTTTCTTCATAGAACTTTTACTTATTTATTTATTTATTTATTTATTTATATATTTTTTTGGGGGGGGGTCCAGTCGTGGGGCCTGAACTCTGGGCCTGGGCACTGTCCCTCAGCTCTTCAGTTCAAGGCTAGCACTCTACCACTTGAGCCATAGCACCACTTCTGGCTTTTTTCTTTTTGCTTATATGGTGCTGGGGAATTGAACCCAGGGCCTCAGGCATGCAAGGCAAGCGCTCTGCCATTGAGCCACCTTCCCAGCTCACTTTTATTTATTTTTAACAACATATAAAAACCTCTGATGTGTAACAATGAATATATAGGATGTTATGGGATAAAAGTAAAATTACTTTAAGTATTTAAGTCAGACTCCTAAATGATCATTTATATTAGTTTTTGATTTCCAAAAATATTTCACCAGTCACAAAATCTAAGAGTATTTTTATGTTCTTAAACGTGTTTATCTACAGCGGAGAAGAAAAATGATCCAGTCTTTTTAAAGTGAACCTTGATTTTGAATAGTTTTATTATAGGTTTATTTTTCATGTAATCTTATGATTCAGACATAGTGAAGTTATCCAATAAGAATGAAAGACTCTGGTGGCTTTTAATTAACAAAATTTATATAATACATTGTGGCAAGATCCTCTGCCAGTCAGTGGAGTTTGCATGCCCTTCCTTTGAACACGGAGAGAGCACAGAAACATACAAACATAGTGAAAATTAAACAGCCCATTGGAACATAACAATGACTTTTCTTGGAGAAGTGTCTTCATGACTTTATAAATTAGATAAAATACTATAAAACTAGTGGTAATTTTCTTACTTCTGCTTTCTAAAATGCCCTAATATATTAAATAAAATTCTACTTTGACCTCAAAATGAACTAATTCCTGGCTAATAAGTTAGTTGAATCTAAGGGTTTCTTAAACTCTTAGACACATACTGTGCATTAAAGGAAGGTTTTGTGCTTGTGGCTCACACCTATAATCCTAGCTATTCAGGACACTGAGATCTGAAACTGTGGTTCAAAGCCAGCCTACGCAAAAAAGCCTGTGAGACTCTTATGTCCGATTAATCACTAAAATGCCAGAAGTGGATGTATGTCTCAAGTGGTAGAATGCTAGCTAGGGAACAGTGCCCTGGCCCAAGTTCAAGCCTCTACTAGGGCACAAAAAAGAAAGAGAAAAGAAGCTTTTGTTCGTTAATGATTCTTATTATTTCTATCTCAACTGCTCTCCTTACAAATTATAGCTCTTGAATTTACTTGGTAAAAAAATAGTCTAATTGTAGATGATATACTAATGATGACATGATTTGGGGTTTATAAAAATCCAATAGAAAATAGGTTAAATACTTCTAGGAAAAAACAGCACCTCAGAATTAATTTAATCCCTCTAATCAATATTCTTTTGAAATGAAACGTAGAATAATTTTACTTCTTTTTTTTTTCTTACTAAATGCCTAGCAAACAGGTGCCAGGAAATACTAGCACTCTATAGACAAGCTTGGTACCTGGGAGACTCTCCAGCAATTTAAAAACATGGTTAGACAAGAACTTTATAAAAGTAGCTTGCTAAAAGTAGTTGGAGAGGTTATTCATATATACAGGGTATGGAAAGGGAAACATGAAGAATTTCTGTACCTGATGCTCCATCTTGTTATAAATTTTAAACTACTCTAAATAAATACTCTGGATTTTCTGGGATTTTTTTCTGAAATCAAACAAACATAAAAAAAATTCTGATACTTTTTTGTATTAAAAAAGCCCAAGTTCCAAAACAAAATGGCCATCTTCATGGATTAGAAATCGACTAAAAACATGTAGCACTGGATAAGAACCAATAGGTTCTGGATTAAAAAAACAAACAAACAAATAATGATAGCTAAAAGCTCAATTATAGAGCCTGTTGGAACAGAAAATACGCCCCAAAGGGGAAGGAAACAGAAACTATGGTGAAAAATGAGGAGATACTCCATAGTGAGGGTTGATAAAAGTCATAACCAGAAATGGCTCACCACCTGGGAGTTGAGGGAGCTGAATTCTTGGTACAACCATGAAGTGGGCCAAGCCCCATGCAAGCTGTCAGAGTCTGAATCTGACAAATTGCTGAGGGACGAAGATTGAAACTCCCAGTGTAAGCTTATTCTAAACAAGCTCCCTAGGACCAGTCTGGAAGCAAACAGAACCATCAGAGGGAGCTAGCATGCACAAGTTAAAAAAGGGGAGATGGGAAGGGGGGAAATTGTCCTACTTAAGCTTAGCAGACAATATAAAAATTAATAACTTCAATTGTGAAAAAGCAAACCAGTTACCAAAAGAAGCCACTCTCAAGAAAATGGAATGCATAAAATAATCCGTAAAACGCCAAAATAATGCATTTCAAATTCTGAGAACTCACAGAAGTAATACTATTGCCCCATAGTATGGCTAAATATTTGTTTGCCCCCACATACACCACCACCTAAAAAAGAATTCACATATTAACACCTCTAACTTCTGATGGAACTTGGAGATGGAGCTTTTGGGGAGTACATAGGTAGTTTATATAAGGTCATGAAGTTGGGGTCCTAAGGTGGGATCAGTCTCCTTGTAGGAAGATCAAGAGATGAGGGTTCTCTTTTGTTCCACCATGTGAGAACCCATGAGTGGATGACGGTCTACAAACCAGGGACAGTGCCCACCTCACAAAGTATAAGAAATCATGTTTGCTGTTTAAGCCACCCAGTCTGTGCTCTTTCCTTTCAGTAGCCTGGCATAGCCAACACCTTATCACCATCACCCAAGACTTAAGAAAACAAAGCACTATGAGAAAGTATTCTAAAACAGGATTCTTAAAGGGATGGGCTAATGAGAGGGATTAGATACAAATGGTAAAGGGAAAATAGGACATATACAGCCAGACTGCTCAATGTACATTTATGATCAAGGAAGTGGGAAATATAAAATGAGTCTGGGGGAAAGGGGTAGATAGAAAAGGGCAGAATGATGGAAGGAATGACTCTGATCAAGAACCACTGGACACTTACGATGGACATATTAAACTGTAACCCCCTTGTACAACCTTTTGAAGTTCAGAAAAAAATTCATCTAGTAAAAGTTTTGTTTTGTATTATAACAATAAAGTTGTCAGGTGCTAGTGGCTCACACTTGTAATCCTAGCTACTCAAGAGACTGGGATTTGAGGATAGTGAAGCCATTCTGGGAAGGAAAGTCTGTGAGACTCATAGCTCCAATTAACTATCCAAAAGTCAGAAGTCAAGCTATGGCTCAAGTGGTAGAGTGCTCTTAGCAACACACACACACACACAACATAGTCACAGCACCCAGGCCTTGAGGTCAAGCCCCAGAACCAGCACAAAACAAAACAAACAATAAATTTGTTTCATCTTTCATAGAGAAAAAGAAAAAAATAAAAATGTGAATTTAAAAATCTTGTATATACACTTCTGTAATTTGTGGAGAGGAAGGGAAAAAACAAAATGCTTAAATAAGGATACAGGATGACCCATTGAACAATGAGATGTACAAGACACTACGTTGAAAACAAACTTTACAAATTCGACGTGGGGGGGGAAGGATAGTTGTGGAGGTGGGAGGGAAGGGATGGTAGGGGGAAAACAAAGGAGGAGGGAGACAGTGCTCAATAAGAAATGTACTCATTACCTTGCTCATGTAACTGTAACCCCTCTGTACAGTATTTTTACAATAAAAAACGTACCAAAAAAAGAACAAGAATATCTTACACTGGGAAGAGATCATAACATGGATTTGAAACTTAAATAGTGGTGACTGAAATGGACCACTTCAAAATTTTCAAATGAAACATATTTATTCATTGAAATTAAGTAAAACTAAAAATAAACCTCAATAAGCAGACAAGGTAAAGACTAAGCCATTGGCAGAAACAAAAAGAAAGTGATAGAGAGAGAGAGAAAGGGATGAATGCAGTCGTCATATTCAATGTATAAATGTGAAAATGGAACTAGTTAAATTGAGGGGATAGATGGGGCTGGAAGAAATGGAAGGGAATGATGGAAGAGGTAACACTGATCGAGATGCAGTGTATTCACCAACTGACATATTGAATTGAAACCCTTTTGTATGACTAAAGATAATAATAATAAATAATAATCAAACATAAACATGAAAAAAGAAATTGCATGAAACACAGATTTCATTCTCCTTGAATATCCATGTGCCACTTACTTCCTCTGAGTTTAGAAAGTAAAAAGTAAGGAGCACACTTTTTTCTCAAAAAGAAAACACTTACCTGTTTCACAAGCAGCTTCCATATTGGCTGGATTTCAACCTCAATGGCATTGGGCCCACACACTAATCTTCTGTGGGAAATTATTATCCATTAGTGTCACACTTACAAGCTCAGGGGTAAGTGAGTACAGGCCAAACTGACCACAAGCTTTTTCTCTGACCTTTAGTAACTTGATAGCTTCAATTAAACAGCAATGTACAAGTGATTTCGGAGACATCACTCTGAACTACTAATATATTTTTAAAGGGAAAGTCAATGTACGATGAGAAAGGTTGATTTTTTTTTACCTCTAGGTTTAAAAATGACTGACCTTAGTATAATCCAATGAGTCAAAATAAAATTAGAAAGCATGCTGAAGTATTTTTAAACTAATCTGATCACATTCTAAGACCCAGTAAAAAGACAAGATACAATGTGATGTGCTAGGTGGGTTAAGCATTCAGATTCCCCTGGATGCTAATGGTCATTGCTGTAGTATCTTGGAATCTTCAGCACCTAGGACAGATGCTTAGTATGTGAACTGATTGTGTGCTAGAGGTAGGCCTATGGTCTCATCTTGTAAACATATACACACAAAGTATAATATATGTATGTATTATTACACATTGTACAATGAAGATTTTATAATTTACAACATTCTTATAAAAGACTCATTTGATCCTCATATTATTCAAAAGGAAAGGATTAATATCACCATTTTGCCAATGTCCTCAAAGGTAGACATATCTAATATTCATCATAACAATATAACTGTAGAGCAGAGATGACAGTGTTAGAAACTAAACTTAAGCTTTTAGGGGATTAACTCCTGTAATCATGGCATCATCCCTTCAAGATTTCATTATTTTGGACCCTAAAGAAAACCTGTCTCAGGTTCTCAGAGCTAGAAAAAGACAGAGTCAATGTCCCTGCTCTGTCCTCCGTGGCTCCACTTCACAACTCTGCCTCACCAAGTACCACTTTGATATAGCACCAAGATATATCTGAGAACTGTTCATCTGACGTCTAAGCCAGGGCTTTTTAATGGAAATTACTGATCGCAAGGAACAGAGAGGCCTCCTATCAAGATCTTCTGACTCCATACTATGGTACCACCAAGGCTCAAGGGTGTTAAGAGGTAGAGGTGAGAAACAGTCATGTTGTTCTGTGACTTCATTGAGGTCCAAAACTTCACACTGATGCTTGGATGCTCTCCAGATTTCATGAATAAACAGTTGTTGGCCAATTGTGAGAATTTCTCAGGACCCCTAACTTTGTTTCTCTCTTTTCTGCTTTGGACAATCTTCCCACATTCTTCACTTTGGAAATGTCTGTTCAGTCACTGAGAGCCAAATCTGTGAAATGGGTCAGACATAAGGTTTGCATTCATCTAGGCCTTTCTGTCTGAAACCACATGTTTACTTGACTTTCACAGTTGCTCCATTCAGCACCTCTGTGCGTGGGCTTTCCCTAATAGCTCTATTGAAAATAGCTCCTCTGGAGGGAGGGTTATAGCTCCATGGCAAGAAAGAAAAAGAAAAAGCTACCCAATCACCAATCTATATTCTCTTCATCTCTTTTAATCTACATTATTTTTCTACAACATGTGTATGGTCATTCAAAATTACCACATGTTTTTAACATGCTAATGTGTATACAAACAACAGACTCCTTTGTTAAGTTTTCAGAGGACAGTGATAGATTCTGAAAGCCAAAAACAGGGCATGATGTATAAATTACTCATCAATTGACCTGTTGGATTGAAAAAATAATTTGGGGAGTGGAAGGGAAAAAACAAATTGTTTAAATAGGGATATAGGTTGATCCATTGCAACAATGAGATGTACAAGATGCTATGTTGAAAAATGAACTTTACAACTTGGGGGGTGGAGAGGAATGTAGTTGTGGAGATGGGAGGGCAGGGATGGTAGGGGAAAAACAAAGGAGGAGGCAACAATGCTTGATAAGAAATGTACTCATTACCTTGCTCATGTGATTGTAACCCCTCTGTGCAGTATTTTTACAATAAAAAAATTATTTAAACAATTAATTAATTAATACAAAATCAGTAATTCAATGTCATTTGCTTATATTTGAAAAAAAGTATAATTTTGGAATGAATAGCCAAATGAAGAGGGAATCTTGAGAGTGTCATTTGTAAAATGGGCTTGAAAAAATACACCTAATAAAGTTCCAATGTGATAGTGAAATAACTATGTTAGCATTTAACCCTGGTAATTATCATGTGACAAGTTCCCAGTAGATGGCAGCTGTCTTGGAAGTTTAACTCCCTCTGGCACAATTAACTCTATTTTTCTCTCCTTCAGCACTGCTTTCTGTTTTAGTAACAGCACTTACCTCATTGAATTAGCACATGCATTTATACGAATTGCCTGTCTCCTCAGATTTTCCAGACTCTCTTTAAAGGCAGGAATGGAACAAGAATTATAACACTGGATCCAAGTCTTCCTGAGCTCCACTCTTCATAGCAATATCAGAAATCAGTATATCAAACAGGGAGAGCCCAAGGGAATTGGACCCTCAGCTTGCCCTGTAAATTGCTTTTTCACAACCTATGTGCTTTCTTAGGTGTGTGTGTAGGTTTTGAACCTTGACAGGAAAAGTAGTCTAGATACAAGTTACAATGATATTCATTAACTAATTACAGTATTTCATGAACATACTCTGTGTCTGATGTTGTGCCCTGACTTGCTGGATAAATAATTGGAAGAGCTCCATTCCTGCCTTTTAACTGTATTTGATGTTAGTATAATTTGGGGAGGGGAAGGGAAAAAACAAATCATTTAAATAGGGATACAGATTTGACCCATTGCAACGATGAACTTTACAATTTAGGTGTGGGGGAAGGGAGGGAAGAGGGGACTAGCTGAGGAGGTGGGAGGGAAGGGATGGTAGGGGGAAAACAAAGGAGGAGGCCACCATGCTGGGTAAGAAATGTACTCATTACCTTGCTCGTGTAACTGTAACCCCTCTGTACAGTATTTTCACAGTTAAAAAACTTAATTAAAAAGAGAGTCTAGGAAATTTGAGGAGAAAATTAATCCATGTAAATAAATATGTGTGCTAATTCAATGGGGTAAATGCTGTACTGAAACAGATCGTGCTGTTGACAGAGTACCTGCTCAGTGTGCTGCCACAAAGTTATATTTTTTTTGTATTGTTTTGTTTTTTTGTCGGTCATGGGGCTTGAACTCTGGGCCTGGGCGTTGTCCCTCAGCTCTTCAGCTCAAGGCTAGCGCTCTACCACTTAAGCTTCAGTGCCACTTTGGGCTTTTTCTGCTTATGTGGTGCTGAGGAATTGAACCCAGGGCCTGATGCATGCAAGGCAAGTGCTCCACCACTGAGCCACCTTCCCAGCCCCCACTTTCGGCTTTTTTGAGTAGGTTTATTGTTGTTGTTGTTTTAATTGTAGATGAGAGTCTCACAGACTTTCCTGCCTAGGCTGGCTTTGAACTGTGATCATCAGATTTCAGCCTCTTGAGTAGCTAGGATTACAGGTGTGAGCCACCCAACCTGTACCAGGCCTGCATTTGCATTTTTCAGAAGCCTAAACGAAGATGGAAGGTGGGCTGAATAATAGTTTCACACTGTCCTAACAGGAAGACAACCTGGCTAAATGAGAATCAGAGTTGCCCCTCTTCCCCTATAGGGCTCCTCCTCAAGAAATAAAGGGAAGGAATGAGAGAGAAAGAGGGAACAGCTTACACTAAGCAAAAGGAAAGAAATGTACACATCACCTGATTTGGAAAAAATAGCTGTAGTGTCAAAGTTTGTAGAGTCCATAAGTTTTATAGACCACGATAATGACAATGCACCTTGTTAAGGTTAAAATGTGTTCGTAACTTTAACTAAGTATCCCACAATACTGTGAAATTTATGTAATCACTTAATCTCAATTTAAAAAATTAAAAATAAATAAAGGAATTACCTCAAATGTCTACAAACTCTTTGTCTGACACAGGTATGAGGCTGTAAAATTCAGCTCATCTGGGTAAAAAATTGGAACAAAGAACATACCAGACAACTTACTTGCTCTCTTCTTGATAGCTTCTGGCAATTTCTTTCCAAGGTAAAATCAACTGTCCTGATATCTTGATATGCTTTTACCACTGAAAGGTGAAAACTAGGTAGATCTGTGCATTGTGTGCCCAAATGCTAGAATGCCTATAGATTTTAGGGGTTTTTTTTTGTGTTTTTTTGTTTGTTTTTTTTACCATTAGAGATTCTTACATGCTTCTTTTCCTTCTTCTTCATGGTACTCTTATTTTTTTAAGTATCTTGTTTATTAATGCAAGTCAGTCTAAATTCATTTGGGAAACTGGCAAGCTACATAGTCAATCATATTTAATTTTTTTAATGTCCTCAGTTTTACCTTAAGAAATGAAAGAGAAAATGTTCCACATTCTAATTTTTCTCCTTAGACATGCCTATAAAACAAAATATGCCTATGTTTATAAGATTATTATCTCCTCTATTTTTCATATTAGGGATACTCTACTCTGTCTTGCTTATTAGATTGTCAAGTTCTTTATTGTGTGGACCAGATTTAAATTTAATTATGTATGATGTTTGATAAAGCTTGGCACTTGATAAATAAGAACGAATGTGAGCTAGCTACACTAATGGGAAATCTTTCCTGTGGAAATGGTTTCCTACGCAAAATCTATCTATATCCATCAATGTGATTTCATAAATGCTCGAAATCAATCCTTTAAATATCTGCACTTAGTGTTATTAAACCAATATGTTTCTAATGACTTTGAAAACTCTTTTGTATTTCAATGTGTTAAGCAGTCATCTCACATCTTATATAATGATACCATTTCAAAGACAATTTGAAGTCTTGTCCTGGTCTAGATACCTGACTCATTTTTCATACTTGTCTGGCATTGTAACAATATAGAAAATTTTAGACTTGGTTTGTTTAAGAATCATGGGGGAATACTTGCTAAAATGCAGAACTTTGCTTCAAAGTACTCCTCACTGCTACTATCAGATTATAAAAACAGCAGCTCAAACTACTATTTTAGGTAGCATATTTCTTCTTAACTTGAGAATTAGTGTTTCTGGGTTACTACAAAGAACACTAGGCAAGCTATGGAGCTGAAAATGGCTGAGAGGTGAAGAGAATTATTAAGATTCTGGGGAAGACTAGCATTATTCCTGTTCAGACTCACCAAGATTGGCCATTTCAAACAATACTTGATGGAAGCAGGGAACTCCTGCACTGTGAGATAATACATTGTAACTTTGTCTTAATCAGTGTGTATGTACACATTTCATGATGGTATCACTACGATTGTATTTATCTCACTAGCCAGTGAATGTCTCTGAAACAATGACTACTACTTTCTCTTCAAATTACTGGTTCCTTGAAAACTTCCTAGCACATCAGAAGCCTGTTGTTGACAAACACTGACACATTCATTCATTCATTTCCTCCACAAACATTCTATCCTTAGTCAGGGACTATTCTGGGTGCTGCAGGTACAGCAATAAACAACACAACAAATCCTCATTTCTAGGGTTGCTTGTTCATAGGGAAAAATGCAATCTGAATTCTCTTTCTAGCTCCCAGAGGATCTGGAGAACTAAAAAGTTAATTTCATGGAGTGAGTCAAGACTTTTCATTTTATTTGGGCTGCCCCTGAGGCTTGAACTCTAGGGCCTTGGCTCAGTCCCTGAGCTTTTGTGCTCAAGGCCAGCACTCTTATCACTTGAGCTCCACTTCCAACTTTTTGTGGTTAATTGGAAACAAGAATCTCAAGGACTTCCCTACCTAGGCCAGCTTCAAACAGTGATCCTCAGATCTCACCCCGCCCTGAGTAGCTAGGATTATAGGGGTGATCCACCAGTGCCTGGCAAGTCAAGATCTTTTGAAGAAAGAATGAGAAGAACTACATAAAAGAAAAGTACTCTACATGCCTGAGAGAAAAGATCATATTTTTACTTGATTGCTTTGCTCTTTGAAGTCTTTTTAATAAGTTTGCTTCAGAGAAGCATATAGAATATCTGCCTGATGCCAGCCAATGATATCAAGCTGGTAAAGCATTTCGACAACAATGTAATTAAATGGCCTTTTTAAGACTTTATTTTCCTACCTGCAGAGTTCATCTCCCAGGAGCACTAAAGATCCTACCTGACTTCTTGCTCCTCACTGGTCAGACCCAATCCAAATGTGTGGTGGATGTCATAACAGGAGTTGCTGTCCTCTAACAACCTAGGATGTGTCCGGAACAGGAACTTCAGTTCATAAAACTCAATACGCCAGTACTATACCCCTGATGTGCCAGAAAGAAAAAGTCATACTTACCCAACTTTCCGAAACCGCTTCTCCGAGTAATCCCAAACGTACCTGATTTTCTGCACTTGGATACATCGCAACTGTAATTACAAATGTGATGGGACAAGTGTCATTTATGAGGTGAAGCTCATGAAAGGAAAGTTATTCAAGATCCCCATGGGATCTCACTTTCTTTGACACATAGCTGCCATTCCCAGCCCAACGGTGTGACAGTCAGAACTTTTCATCAATAAACACATTTTTATCCTTTTTTCTACAAACACAACATACCATTGTGTTCTAAAATAAGTCACTTACCAGACAGGCACTGGCAGCTCATGCCTATAATCCTAGCTACTAAGGAGGCTGAGATCTGAGAATTGTGGTTCAAAGCCATCCTGGGCAGGAAAGTCCATGACATTCTTATCTCCAAATAACCACTGGAAAACCAGAAGTGGTGCTGTGGCTCAAAGTGGTAGAGCACTAGCCTTAAGTAAAAAAAAAGCTCAGAAACAGTGCCTGGGCCTTGAGTTCGAGCCCCACACAGCTGACAAAAATAAAGAACCACTTACTTTTAATTCTGGCTTCATTACAGCTTGGTTTATGACAGAGTGGCGGTCTGCCACCAGAGGTTCTTTTGAGTTCTTGCTTATGGGAAACTTCAGTGTGGCTAAGTAGAGACAGAACACCTTCTTCCTCATATATCTTTGAAATTCATCCTAAGAAATACAATCTCACTCAGAATTTCTCAAACATATTATTAAATAAGCTGCTCAATTAACCCAATGCACAAGACCAGCAGTTCCCAAAGCTTGGGAAAAAATTGTGTTTCTAAAGAAGTGTATCAGTATTTATTATCAGCCTCACCCCAGTCCTAATGAATTAGAAACTGTGGTGGTGAAGCCAATAATCTAAGCATTAAGGAGCTCTCCAGAAGATCCCAGTATGCACAAGATTTGCAAGCCACTAGGTTAGAACATAAAGGGAGTAGGTACTTTGTAGGATAATTTTTAGTCTAGAAAAAGTCTTTTTTTCTCAATTTTTAGATGACATCTAGGTGTTTAAGATGTCTATTACCCTCTAAAACACGTATTTTTTCAAACAGTGAATGATCATTCCAATGTTACAGTGTCCAAGCTGCTACTGAAGAGTCTCCTAAGGTAATGACCCACTGCTGTCAGCCTGCCATGCCAGACATTTCCCCAGAGCTGAAGGGAAGAGAATGTCTTTCATTGCTGTGTTCAGAAAGATCACCAGATTGCAGAGACCACTGTTTCTTCTCCTGTTCCAGTCTGGGAAAACTCTTGACAGGGAGGAAAAACAATGTCCTTTTGAAATATTGGCTAGTCACTATTTAGACCTCAGACATCATCACGGCATTTCTTTCTTTTCTTAGATCTATCCTTTATTGCTATATGACATTCACAAACTGTATATTTTAGGGGGAACAGTGTGATATTTTAGCACATATATACACGCTATAATCATCATACCATGGTAATTGGCCTACCAATCACCTCCTTCATTTATTGTATCTGCGTGTTGGGAACATTCAACATCTTCTCTATTAGCTATTCTGAGGTATTCAATTAAGTGTGTCAACTATATTATCCTACTGTGCTATAGAACATTTGAATTTATTTCTTGTACAACTGTACTGTTGTGCCCATACTTCTTTATCCTTCCTTCCCCTTGGCTTGATGATATTAACTTTTTCCGCTCCCATCTATAAATGAGAACATGCAATGCTTGTTTGTCTGTGATGATCATGGCATCTGAAATAGATAACACGGAGGCACATACTGTTGTCCTCAACAAGACAGTGTCTGCTTCTTGCAAAGTACATGGGACACAGTTGCTCCACACCCTCCACTCAGGCCTCCAGTAGAACACCAGTTGAAGGACGCCGCAGGTCAGCATGGATGTAACCAGGCACAGAGCTCTTCGGAGATTCTGGGTATGGTAACCAAACACCTCCTAGAGAATAAATAGAAGAACAATTTATTTTTAGGTTTCATATGAATATATGATTTTATTTCAAAAGACACAAACTTTAGACATAGGGGCATTGTGTGAGAAAAATCCTGAGCCAGACAATTAGGCCAGGTTGACTGAATCTCTCAGCTGATATACAATGATAATGAGAACAAAAGCAAGAACTACCCTATCATTTTAAAACATTGCTCAGGAATAGAAAGAAAAGACATATTTATTTGCTTCTACTTATTCATAAGCATCACCTCAGATTTTTTATTATTTATTTTTATTTTCATTTTTCATAATTTTTTAAATATTTTTTGAAAGTGCCTCATGTTTTGACCCAGATTTGTTTTCTTTAGGTATATTTTAAAACATTGATATGAGTTTGTTGGAGAAAGATGATAAAATTATGACAGTTATAATCTACATATTCTTCCAGCTTTTGCCACATTCAAATTTGTTTTATAATAATATTTGGAAGTGTAAATAAATACTCTGTTTTAAGGGACTGTCCATGAAAGGCTTTCAAAAGGCAGCTAGGTAGTAGGTTACTCAACATTTGTCATAAACTGAATAGACTTGAATACAGTTTTAGGTGAGACATAGTTTTGGTTATTCAAAGTCAATTTCTCACTTCTAGCTTCTACAATACGTGTTCACTTTATGAATTTTAAAAAGTAAAAATTGAAGTTCCAAGAGATGCTGATCCTTGTGGTTGGGATATGAGGTGCTGGTTCTTGGTGGCCTTGTTGAGAGGGGACTGGACCATGAAGACATGAATCCTATCTATGGATTAATTCACTGATGAGTTCCTAGCTGACAGGCTATTAAGAGGAGAGGCTTCATTGGAAGAAGTGGGTCACTGGTAAATTCTGACTGAAGGCATTCCTCCCATCGTTCTCTCCCTCCCCTGACTTCCATTCAGTGAGTAGCTTTGCTTTGCCAAGTCCTTCTGCCATATTTCTGCCTTGTCACACTCAATAGCAATGGAGCCTGTTAGCCATGGGCTAAAACCCCTGAGCCCAAATCAACTTCTCCTCATTTAAGTTTTGTTTCCTTCGGGTCTGTGTTTCTTTCTTTCTTGAGATATTTTTATAACAGCTACTAACACACTGAAAATGAACGATGCTTATTGTATTACTATTTAAGGCTTTGCTGAACTTGGTTGTGTTCTTCTTTCCTATGAGTCTGAATTCCAAGATAGTAGACTTGTAATAGTAAGAAAATTGGTTTTAGCTGAATTTCCATAGAACTTTTGGAGCTCAGACCAGTTCAGATCATGGTATCATAGAACAAATCTCTTGGCATGATTCTTTGGAAACATTGTCATCTTATTAATTTTGGGAACATGTTGCTTTCATTGATTTTTCTAATAACTCAGTGGTAGATGATTATAGTAAGAGTTGTTGAAAGTTATTCTAAAGACAATAATAAGTGTTCTGCCTATCTCTAGCTATGTGATCTCAGGTACTTCATTTCACTGTGAAGGAACTAATCTGTACAAACTAATTAGAAATATGAAACTTACAAATTAGCTGTGCTCAGATAAAACCATGTCCATAAACTTGCTCTTTAAAGTAATTACAATGTGGAGAGCTCCTAAACAAGGTAACTCATGTGGGAGAAAGAATTCATTAAATTTATAGATGTACTCTCTTTTTTTTTTTTTTTTGGTCTGGTCATGGGGCCTGAACTCTGAGCCTGGGCGCTGTCCCTCAGCTCAAGGCTAGCGCTCTACCACTTGAGCCACAGCACCACTTCTGGCTTTTTCTGCTTATGTGGTGCTGAGGAATCGAACTCAGGGCCTCATGCATGCAAGGCAAGTGCTCTACCTCTGAGCTACCTTCCCAGCCCCTAGATGCACTCTTTTAAGATTATTCATGAAAATGTTTAAATTATAATACACAAACATTCATTAACTCTGATTTTAAGCATATTTTCAATTGAATTTCTACTTTCTCTACCCACGTTCCTTCAGTTTCTAAAAACCTTGATTTTCATTACTGAATTATAGCTTTCTTAGAACCATATAAAATATATATGCCAGTTCACATATTATATGATAAACACCCATTTTGGGGGTTATTTTCTAGGGGGCTATTGCCAAAGCCCAGTTATGTGGAGAATAATTTGAAAAGGTAGTTCAGCTTTAAGCTGAAATGAGCTTATTCTTAAACACATCCTCTTTTTTCTGTTTATTTATACCCAACAATGACATTGGGAATCATAATTCTGTTACTTCCTACATAGTTGCTTTTTAAGCTAAAGATTAATTCAGAATTCCAGAAAGATTGCAATGAAACCATTGCAGACATATACTTCTAATATCATAAAAAAACTAAAATAGTTTTTTAAGAATTTGAACTGTACCGAGAATTAAACAAATGATTTCATCTTTCAATCCATAATCCCTCACTTGGAAATATACCTTAATGAAAAAATGCATGCCAGGCAAAGCAAAGGATCTATGCGCAGTCTATAACAACAAAATGATTGGGAGAATGGAACGTGAGCAAAGGTTCAGGGGGTTGTGAAGACAAGGGCCTTTTGTTAAGTGATCATATCCACGTGTGTGGCATGAATGTACAAACCTGGAACTTTCTGTATTACAATGACAAAAGAAGAAAAGAATACACAGAATGACTGACATACACAAATAGCAACCTCAGGAAATTTAAACCAACTGTATCAAGAGTTACATTAAATGTGAATGTTCTTGATACCGAAACACAACAATGACTGGGCTGGAAAATAAAGGTAGACTGTGTTGTTTACAAGATACATACTTTAAATATCAAGAAGCAGAAAAGTTAAAAGAAGGTAAGAACGTACCACGCAACACTGAGGAAGAAAAGTAAATTCAGCTATATTAATATTAGACAAAACACATTTCTTTAAGGATATTAAGGGGAAACTATCAGAGAAAAGGAAAGACTTCATAAGCTAACAGGTAAACTTAATAGAAAGGAAGCATGATTGTATAAATTTCTGTGTGCACAAAATATAGCTTTACAGTTTATAAAGTAAAATTAGTAGAATTTAAATCCACTCAGCACTAGAGATTTTGATCCACTCCCTCTTGCTAACTAATAAACACAAAAATCATTAAAAATACAGAACTTCAAACAACACCATTTAGATAACATGGTGAAGTAAACAAATACAGAAGTGTATAGACAATAACTGTAAATTTCAATTTTTTTGCTGCTTCCACTGAACCAGATGGAAACTTTTATACACTAATGAGATCTGCCATAGGCAATGGCTTGGCAAAGGTCACCAGAATGGGTGCACAGTTTGGTATGGCTACCTCTCCCTGTGCATTTAAAGGCTGAAGAGAAAAACTGACTTAGATTACATCAACTCTATTCAACTCAACCAATATAAACTAGCATCTAGGGGCATTGCTGGCTGCTGGTGCAGGTAATGCTTGTTAATGTTAGCTACTCAGAAGGCTAAGATCTGAGGATTGCAATTCCAAAGCCAGATCAGGAAGAAAAGTCCATGAGACTCTTAACTCCAATTAACCACCACAAAAAAACAAAAGTGAAGCTGTGGCTCAAGTGGTAAAGTGCTATCTTTGATCAAAGAGAGGGAAAGAAGGAAGGAAGGGAGGAAGGGAGGGAAGGAGGGAAAGAAGGAAGGCGCAAAGGAAAACAAAAAAAAATTGGATTGAGTCCTTGCTCAAGAGAAGACTCACAAGGTAAACATATATCAAGAGAAAATTCCAGCACAAGAGCAAAGCACTAGAGCATGTGTAGAAGGGAGTCAAAGGAGGTTGAAGGACAAGAGTTCTCTCCAGAGGAGAAAGAACTATTTAGCACCAGAGAAAAATCCAAGCCCCAAATACATGTAACAGAGTTCAATTTTTTTTTGGGGGGGGTGGTCCAGTCGTGGGGCCTGAACTCTGGGCCTGGGCACTGTCCAGCTCAAGGGTAGCGCTCTACCACTTGAGCCACAGCACCACTTCCGGCTTTTTCTTCTTGCTATGTGGTGCTGAGGAATCAAACCCAGGGCCTCAGGCATGCAAGGCAAGAAGCATTCTACCACTGAGCCACCTTCTCAGCCCCCAGAGTTCAATTTTTTTAAGTAGTCATAAAATAGTTGCCTAAATTGATCATATTCTCAGACAAAATACATTGCAATTAAACTAGAAATTAACAAAAAATATAACTTCTCAAATGTTTAGCAACACATTCTAAATAACATGTGAAAGTCAAATAAGAAATTACAGGGGAAGCCAGGCTCCGGTGGCTCACACCTGTAATTCCAACTACTCAGGAGGCTGAGATCTGAAGATCACGGTTCAAAGCCAGCCCAGGCAGGAAAGACCATGAGACTCTTATCTCCAATAAATCACTCAGAAAACTGGAAGTGGTACCGTGGCTCTAGTGGTAGAGTGTTAGCCTTGAGCTGAAGAACTCAGGGGCAGTGTCCAGGCCCAGAGTTCCAGTCCCACAACTGACAAAAAAAAAAATAAAGAAAGAAATTACAGGGACATTGGGGAAGATTTTGAACTGAATGCAAATGAAAACTAAGATGTCAGACCTCATGGGATATGGTGAAGGGACATCTATAGTTTTAAAAGCATAGAAGAAAAAGAAAAGGAAGTTTAAAATCAATAAAGCAAGCTTCTTCCAATTCAAGAAGTCATGGAAAGAATTGCAAATTAAATCTTATATAATATATGAAGAAGGAAATTTTAAAGATGAGTGCAGAAATGAATAAAATAGAAATCAGACATACAATAGAGAAAATCAACAGCCAAATTGGCACTTCTGGGAGACGTAGAAAATGGATGAACTCATAAATATAAATCCAAATGGTTTTGTGGTTGTTAGCATACATTCAATCTTAGCCAACTGGGAGACTGGGAAAGACAATCACTAGTTCAAAGCCAATCTGAGACATATAGTTGGTTTCAGTTCTCAAGTGGGGAACTCAGTGAACCTCTATCTCAAAATGAAATTTACACAGAAATAAAGGGCAGAAGATGT